CAGGCCATGTGGGCCCACTCCTCCCCAAGTCCCGAGAAAGACGATTTTATTGCCTCGAAAGGAGGCAGTTCTAGGGTGGCCGATCCTTTCAAGGCCCGTCTTCCCACCCCTGTGTGTGCATGCTGCCTCAACCCGTGCAGGTGTCCCCAGGGCAGGGCTGCACGTGGAGATGAAAGGGAGGGGACGTGCAGGGGACCCAGAGAAAACCAGGTTCATCTCAGCCCAGGAGCAGATCCACCAGTGGGGAAGGCCACGTGGGCAAGGAGTGGGGCTCTGAGAAGCAGCCCAGGTCAGCAGCTCTGGGCTCCAGGTAGACTGCACAGGGACACAGGCAGGGTCCACAGTGACCCCAGGACCTCCAGCAGCTGCTCAGGGGCCTGTGAGCACTACCCACCTGCAGACCCTCTCTGACCCGCCTGCTCAGCCCACCACTGAGCCACAAATGTCCCCAGGTACCTACTGCTTGCAGCCAGAGGGTCACAGGTAGATCAGACTGCCCCCTTAGGTTGGGGGCAGTCTGTGCCAGGCTCCACAGGAGTGTGGGTGCAGAGCAATGGACCCCTGGGGTCAGGGAGAGGAAGGGGGTGCAGCTCTGCTCAGGAAGGAAGGGGGAGACTTCCCAGCGGACACCAGTGGCCCTCTTGCCTCTTCCTCCTGGGCAAGCAGGCAGGCGGCCTCACCCCAAACACCTCCCTGCACATTGGCCCTGACAGGGAGCCTCTGCTCTGTTCGGCTGTGCATGAGGAGGGGCCGGGGCAGGGCATCCCCGAGGTCGGGCAAGGAGAGGGAACCCTGGAACCCTGTGCCAGGCAGCCGGCGGCCCCAGATGTCAGCCCCAGTGTCAGCCACAGGCCAGGGTATCAGGGCTCGGTGCTGCTGTGGCACACACAAGTCATAAATACCGCCTAAGTGGCTCCTGTCACTTGGCTGGGGCCTCGTTTCCATTCTGCAGCCGCCAAAGGTGATTAATGAGAATTATCATTAACGCTAATCAGAGCCGTTTGGAGGAGGCTGGGCGGAAGGAAATGGTCTTTGTGGGGCCCACTCTGAAGGCTGTCGGGTGCATGTGTGTGCACACCCAGGGACACACTTGCACATACATGCACATACACTCCATGCATTCATGCACATGTGCACGTGCACACACAGGACAGGCCTCTGGGTCTGGGCAGATGGGGAGGAGCCAATGCTCGGTGGTAGAAGGTGGGCTCCAGGGAGGCCACTCCCTGACAGGGCGTGCCGCCAGCCGGAGAACTCAGGCCTTGCACAGCTCAGCCCTGCTGGAATGCATCTCTCCCTTCATCACCATGTGTACTCATGACTTAACGTGCTCCACAGCTGCTGGCAACCTGGACCTAGACAGGCTTGGCCAAAATTAGAATGAATGCATGGAGGACAAGGGCCTCAGCCAATGGTGTGGCGCAGGGCGAGCACGCTCTGTGGGTTCCGTCTTTCTTCTCCTTCCTTCTGCGCACAGCCTGGACCACTGCACTGGGCCCTCCGCTGCCCACTCCCCACATTACACTAGGGACGCCCCTTCCCCACCATCTCTGAGGAAGTGGCAGCAGGCTTCCCTGCTCTCTGCATCCTCACTTAGGGGGCCCCGTGTGGTTGAAAGATACAATATGTCCTTTTATTGGGAATATCAATTCAGAAAGGGGCTAGTGGTAAGCTGAGAATATTTGGATAAACTTGACAGCCCTAGGACTGAAAAAGCCCTTTTGTTCCTTGGAGAACGGGGCCGCCCCACCCCCCGGGCACACTGGAGCTGTTCCAGCAACAACCGAAGTGGGGGCAGAGAAATAATTAGGGTGTCTCGTGAAGGATCTTTACTCTAGGTCAAATGTTTATTATTATTTATCTTATTTTATTATTAGAATGTGTGGTTAACATCCTATTGCATAATAGCAGGCGGTAACCGCGTCTTCCAGCACCAAGCCTGCTCCCCTCAGTCTCCGGCGCACAAAGGCAACTTTGTGGCATTTGTGGGGAGTGCGGACTGCACCCGTGTGTTTTATTGTGCTCTGCTTTGCATCTGAGATGCCAGCCAGGTAAAGAGGGAGCACACATCACCAGTGTCTGCGCTCCGCCGAGCAGAGGGGTATCTGCAGCTTGGGGAGCTGTCCCAGCGAGGGGTCACCTCCCCACTCCCACTGACAGGACGTTTTGTGTGTGGATGGCATGGTGGTGTGGTTGGTACGGCTCTCATCCAAAAGAGAGAAAGGTCCAACGCAAGCTCTTTGCTTTGTGGGTGAGCAGGGGCCTTTCCGCTGACCCTGACCCCAGCACACCAGTGGCCAAATGCTTTCTGAGAGACACTGGGGCAGCGGGTGGCTAGCTCCACACCTCCCTAAGACAACTGGGCCCAAGTGTCTGTTTTCCAGAAATGTGCACACAGCCCCGTGGTCCCCAATTTCATGGCGTGTCTCGACTTACGTGCTCCCCTAAGTGACTAAGCTGATTTCTGAGATTCCCGTGAAAGGATGTCCCTCCAGAAGCCACAGTGGGAGGAAATCTCAAACCTGATCAGAACCCTTTCCACACAAACATATGAAAAGGAAAAGAACTTGTCCAACACGGTCACTGGAAAAGCTGAGCCGACATCAAGGTGACCCGGCAAAGCTGAAAAGCATTACCTCCTCCCCTGACATGAAGCCTGATTTGATTGACTATCTGCAAGCGAGCATTCATTGAAACGCTCTAGGATCTGACAATATGCGTCCAACATAGCTGAGGGCCAACTCTCCTCACAGAGGCAGAGAACCTTCTAGAAATTCCCAGAATTTCTTCACTGACCTCTGCAGAAAACCCTGGATGGAGGGTCTTTCCATCTGGCATTGCACAGAGCCCCTGGCATGCTCCTGGGAGGCAGAGCCTCGAGAAGCTGCCTCCGTGGAGGCTCACACTTCTGGGTCAGGGAGGCGTGGTGGCACTGGGTCTGGGCCAGGCAAGGAGCTGTCCTCGGAGTGCGTCGCCAGGGCCTCCAGCCCCGCCCATCCCCCAGGCAGAGGCAGGACCCAGGCCGGTGTGTCTGTCCCGGAGATGGTCCCAGGTACCCACTCCCAGCAGCCAGGCGTCCCATGGAGCATGACCCAGGACCCCAAGCAGCAGCCCTCCAGAGGGCCCTGACTAGAGTGACCCTGGAGTCTTCAGTCTCTGCCAGCCCCTGAGACAGCCCCAAGAATCATGCCAGTTTGGGAGAAAAATTGCAGAAATGGCTGAGAAATGCCACAGTGCGGTAGCGGGGAGCCCATTCAGCCGGGGATTCACTCTCAGAGGCACCTGCGCTGCAGTGCTGTTGCAGGGAAAGGCCTGTACCCCAGCTTCCCATGTCAGGTGTCCCTGCAGCTGCACTGCACACCTTGAGGTTTTAGGGAGATAGTGTTTTGAGAGAGAATTCCTGCTTCCAATATGGAATATATACATAAATGTGGAGTATTGACAGAGTAGAAGCTGTCCTAGAATCACACTTCTGAATTTGGTTTTCATCATTTATAGTTGAAGTGACAAGTGAATCACTGGGGTGGGAAGTGAATGTACTTATTTTAAATGTTTTGGTTCTGTTAAATTTTTAATTACATTTTTAAAAAATTAAATGGGATATTAAATTTTTTAAAAACCTTGTCTTCGAAACAAGGCACTTGGGAAAGAGTTAAAATCATTTTTACTTGAGAAGTAACTTTAAAATAGGTCATCATGTAGAAAGGACCAAACAAAAATAATTTAAAGTAAAAGTGATGTAGTATATTCAGGGAGCGAGAGGTATGCGACATAAAGGCTTTGGTGGCAATATGCGTCCAACATAGCTGAGGGCCAACTCTCCTCACAGAGGCAGAGAACCTTCTAGAAAAGAGCCCAGGCCCCAAGGGAGGGCAGGAGCCAGGTGCCATGCAGGGCAGCTGCTCACTCCATGAGCACGCTGACCTTGCAGGGATCTCCGAGGCCCGGCTTGTCTGCCAGAGCCACCCGTGCCCATGTGGCCAGATGCCAGCACCCTCCAGGAAGGCACAGGAGACCATCTCCAGGACATAGTTTCCAACTCAGGAGCCATGCTGAAGACCAGCACCTCCACCCAGAGGAAGTCTGGGGCACCTCGGCCACCAGAGAGGGGCATCGTGGTCAAGCCCTGGGTGGCCGCCCGTGGCCAGAAGGACGTCAAAGGAAAGTGTTGTATAGTGCAGCCATTCAGACTGTGTGGAGAAGCCAGAGGGCCAGAGCCGGGCAGAGACCACCGACTCACGCCCCGGCCCCCACCCCAAGCAGGGAAGGAGCCGCCTTCGCCCAGAATGCCACCCAGCCACCTGAGGAAGGGTGCCAACCCAGGGCAGCAGGCGGGGCCACTGCCCTAAGCAGCACTGTGTCACCTGAGTTAAGCGAGACAGGTATTCTCTGTTCCTTTGGGTTTATGTTCACATCCTGACATCGACAGAAACAGATCTGCCAGAATAAGCCACATATTCTGACGTCACTCGAGGGAGAAAAGTGGATGGTCCTCCCATCCTTTGCCTTTCTTCAAATGAAAAAAGTACAATAGCAGAATCCACAAAGAAAGATCCGATTAAAATGTTCCGAAGCTCTTCAACATCGCCATTTAAATCCCGGGTGATGGGCTGCATTGTGCCGCCCCGGGGAGAGGCCGTGGGGCTGGCGGGTGCCATGCAGAACCATTTGTGTCATATAAATGCTTGTGATTAGATTTTTAATAAACCGTTTCGATTCTATTTCCTGGGATTGAATAGATGTTTGAACTTTGCTCGTGTGGACTTGAAAGAGAGCCGGGTAATATCATTGTGGGGGACACACTTTTAATTCCTTAAATATATTTCGTCAAAGGTGGCTGGCTGGGGAAGCCGCCTGGAACGCCGGGAAGAGGGAAGAGCTGTTGAGCTAATTGGTCCCATTTGTCACTGAAGGCTGACTTTGCCGCACCTCAGCCTATGGATCATTTCCAAACTTGCCCATCTGACCCACCATGCTCACGGCTTGCAGAGGAAGCCGGCTTCCAGGGTGATGTCTCAGGCTGAGCTCACATCCAGGGGCAGACCTGGGGTGCCAGTCAAGGCTCATCACAGACGACCTGGGTGGCATCTGGCCGGAAGGACAGAGTCCGAGAACTGGAGGACCCAGAAGGAACTCCTGTTAATCCGGAAACCTGGCACTTCCACCCCGTCTCGCTGTCACTCCACGTCTGCTGTGCAGAAGGGCCAGGTGCAGGAGAGAGGACCAGCCCATTGGGTCCCAGCTACAGGACCCCAGGGCCCCTCCCCACTCAACCAGCTGGACAGCGGCCCAGCGCTGGGTGACCCTGGAGAAGACAGAAACCCTAGGAAGCAGAATCACTACAATCGGCTGGAAGGAAGTACATGTCCTCTCTCCATACAGACGGAACAAAGGTGCAGGTGCAGGCCAGCGTTCTCTGTGCACATACCTGGGCCTACTGGAGGAAGAAAGCAGATGTTCGCAGGGCATCTGGAGGCACCTCCGTCTGCACCAGAGCCCCCGCCAGGGCCGTTGTATGTGCACGAGCAGCAAGTGCCCATCAGGGGACTGGCAAGGTACGGGCTTCGATCTGGCCCACTGAGATCCGAGCTATTTGCAGGAGCTGATCTCAAAACCTGAGGCCTGATATGGAAGACGATGGGTCATGGAGCTTCTCCAGACCGACGTGTGCCCTGGCGAAGGAAGAGGGATGGGCCGCAAGAGACTGAGTCGGGCAGAGAAGGTGCTAAATATAACCCGGCTCAGTCTGTCCCGGCTGCCCGGCACACCTTGACTGAGCACCTACTGTGTCCCGGGTCTACGGGGTGCTGAGATGGACAAGCCAGCATTGCTCTGCCCCGGGAAGCAGGACACTGCCACGTGGGCCTAGGGAGAGGTCATACTGCAACACTGAGCACAAGGCAGCCGCGCTGTGACCCTCAACATGGGATGGCTACACTGTAACGGGGACCCAGGGAGAGTTAGTACTGATTCCCAGAGGAGCAGAGCAACCGGAACGAGGCTTCATGCTTCCTTCTGCAGAACCCATGGGGGAATGAGAAAGAAAAGGGTCCAGAACGTGACGGGGGGATGAAGGAGGAAAGACCCCAGGGGAAAGGCCTGTGAGGCACTGGGTGACATCCTCAACTGTCCTCAAGCACCTTACCCATTCGTCCCCCAAACACTCATTGAGCACCCACTGTCTGCCTGGCTGTGGGAGTCAGCCAGGTGAAACCCTCGCAGTCCTGGTCATCCAAGAAAAGAGAAAAATGTGGACTAGACAGCCATGGCCCTCTGCAATCCACACCGCGGGGCAGGGGCTGTGAGAGCCCCTCAGAGGGGCCCACCTGTGCTGGGATCGGGGCAGGCCTCCTGAGAGAGGTGTTCCTGTACCCTGCCGCCTTTAGCACTCCCAGCACTCTGTTCCCTTACATGTCACCTCAGAAAGAGGCGGAGCAAAGGCGTCCAGGCTCTGGGCTGGGAGGCCCTGCCTCGCCCACCCTTCCTTCTGTGCATCCGTGGAGATGCTCTCTGAGCCCCTACTGAGCCCTAGTCCTTGGTGAGGCTCTAGGGAAGCCCTAGTCACTCGTAGCTGCCATCTTCAAGTGGAGGCGAGCTGAGAAGTGCAGGTGGTCCCCAGAGATTGAGAAAGGGGTGAGGCAGGCCACCAGTAGCCAGCAGCCAGCTGGTCTGCCCCTTTCTTGAATGTGCCAGTTATCTAAGTCCTCTGTGCCTCGCGCCTGCAGATGTGGCTGTGATGTCTGCCCCCCAGGGAGCTGTGAGCCAGAGCAGCGGGGTCTGCGGGCACGGCATCCTGCAGGGTGGTGGCAGCCAGAGGGCGGATTGTCTCCTCCTGACCAGGGTTGTGGTGGGAAGGGCCCCAGGGCCAGGCTCTGGAGAGGCAGCCCCTCAGAGAAGGCGAGCTGGTGTGCAGAGGACAGGACAGGAGGCTCCGAGCCTCTCCCAGCCTGGCGTGTCTGGTCCTCCGAGCAGTGCTGGTGGCAGTTGCTCCCTTCTGGGCACAGCCTGCACTTGCCGTTGTCCCCAGTGACTGCGACGTCCTCGGTGGTCTGTGGGTAATGAGGCCCTGGGCCTCTAAGCACCCCCACCAACTCGTGGGCTAGAAAGTGTGGAAGTCCCAGCCAAGGGAGACAGAGCTGGGGGTCCTTGGTGGGCTCCTAAGCCTGGCAACTGGCTTCCGTGCTTGGGGCTTCTTTCCAGCAGAGAAAGTCTGGCGGCTCTCCCCAAGGCCCTGGCGTGTGCCCCTGGGCTTAGAGGCCCACCCCAGTTTGCAGCAGCTTAGCTGCTGTGGGAATTCCTCCTGCACCTGTCGGCCGGGGAGGCGGGGTGCCCCGGTCACAAGCTGTGCAGTTTGTCACCCTCTATGTGGTCAGGGAAAGGTTATGACTGTGACACCTCGGGGCCTTGCAGCGGCAGGGCAACCGCTTCCTGTGGGCAGACGCCGGCCCCACAGTGCCTGCGCGACACGCTGCTGTGGCATCGGGCTTTGCTTGTTTGGGCTTTTTTTTCCCCCAATCATTTTTATGATCAAAAAACAAAACAGAAGCACCTCACTTGAGAATGTCACGGCTGAGTCTGTGGTGACGTGCGGCCTTTAGGCCCCGAGACTTGGGTCCTGACACAACTTCAACTCTAACTAGCGTTTAAAAAAGTGTTTGGGTGTTAGTGTTTTAACCACATCGGCCCCAGGAGTAGGGTGGGCTTGCAGGGCTGGGAGGGCACTGAGAGCCTGGAGCACTCTGCACACCAGGCTAGGATTTGGGGGGCTTCTCTGCACTGAGAGCCCTACCTGTACCAGGGGCTGCACAGCCATGGTTTTCCAGGACTCCATCCTTCCCTGGGCGTCAAACTCTCCGACTGGACCCCGGGCCCAGCCTAGAGAGGCAGGACCAGATGGTGGATGTTTCCACCTACCAGGAGCAGGGTCCTCATGAGACAGGCTCAGCCCCTCTGTGCTGGGGTTTGCTGGGGGCCCCCAGAGGCACATGCTTCTGCATGTGGGCATGCCTAAGGCAGGTCTTGGTCCCCCCAACTGCAGTGACGCAGTGCCAGGTCTGGGGTCAGGGGGGGTGTTACAGAGTGGCAGATACTTATGCCCAGATTATACCTGGATTATTTGAGGTACCATTCTTGTGACATCAGCCATCTCCTCAGAGGGCCAGAAAGGAGACCCTGGGGTCCGAGGTTGCTGTGCTCCTTGGCAGGTTCGGGCCCAGACGAACTCCTTGCTTCCACCCTGTCACCCACACAGCAGCTGAAATCCCATCTTAGTGCTTATGAGAAATGCCCCAGTAAGGCCACAGCAGCGGGTTGCATTGACCTGGTATGACAGGGTTCCAGTCACTTCCAGGCAGTCCTCACCGCAGGCTCAGCGGGCAGAGCAGGGCAGACCAGGGGGCTTTCCTCCGGGGCCGAGGGCTGCCGGGGCTGTCAGGACTTGGCCTGGCCAGGCATGCAGAGCCCACTCAGTCCTGCAGTGACACCAGCAGCAGGGAGTCAGCCAGGAACAACCCCAGGCAGCATGTGCGGCCAACCCAGGCAGCCACACGGGGTCCCAGGCCAGTCCTGGGACGTCCCGCCCAAAACAGTCCAGGAAGAGGACAGAGCAGGACCCAGGCCCAGCTGCCCCAGGAGCTGGTGTCAGTAAGTCACCCGGCTGCTTTTATTTGGAGTTCTCGGTGGAGTTTGACTCACGTCATGTCCTTCTGGGGTTGGCTGGGAAGAGATGGCTGCGCCGTCGCCGTGGAGCGAGGTGGGCTTGCTGGGTTGCACAAGGGCCTCCCCTGCAGGGATGTGGGCATGTCTGCCAGGAGCCCTAGGGCCAGACCCTGGGGTCCCAGCTGCCTCCTGGGAGGGGCTGCGCCAGTTTCTCATTAGTGCTGCTGCCTCAACGTCCCCTCCAATGAAAGAAGTCTGCCCATCTCCTCAAAACTAGACCCTCTGCCCTGCTCCCAGCCAAAGCTGGCAAGCCAGGTAGTCACACACAGGGCACTCACCTCCTGGCGGAACTTTCCATAGGCCACTGTGCAGGATGGTTTTAAAGAGGATAGGTGGTAAACAGGGGTCCCCACCGCAGAAATGCAGTCCACTAAGGGCGTCCTGGGGGAGACACCTTACGCCGTCATGAGCTCATAGCAGTTATATCTGAGGACAGCCTTGGGGGCAGAGCTGCCCTCTGGGAGTGGCTGTGGCACCAGCCACCCCACAGGGGGAGGGTCCTGGGACTCCCGCCCCTCAGCCCCTGCCTCTGCAGGCCGCCCAGCAGCTGCCCTGGTCTGTAAGGGAGACCCCCTGCCCACTGGGGGCTGAGACTGGACCCAGGCTCTCTACAGGGACTGGGGGCTTTCTCTGCAGCGATACCCCAGGCAACTGCAGACCATTACCACACAGGTGGGCAGAGGGGTCCTAAAGGGAGACACGGGCACAGCCTGTTTGCTGGTGCCCCCCTCACCCCCTACTCACTGCCAGGGCTGGTTTGCCCCTTCGGGTCTGTGGTTCCTGACCAGCCAGGAGTCTGCTTTCCTGGCACTCTGAAGGCCCAGGCAAGGCCCTGCTGGCCAAAGCCCTTGTCGTCCTATGGTGGACAGAGCCCCGAGCTGGCACATTGCTGAAGAGCTGACCAGCAGGTACAGCCATCTGGGGATGCAGCAGGAACTCACAGCCATCATCAATATGTCCACACTTGCTCTCAGAGCACAGCATGGTGTGGCACGGGGCTGTTCTGGGCATTCGGCAAGCCACCAAGCAGGACAAGCCACCTGCAGGTGATAGTGCCCCCCATGTGCATGGAGCCATGGGCCCCCACACAGCTAGAGAGCAGGAAACAGGCTTCCTAGTTCCAGAACGGAAACTGAGGCAGGACCCTGGACAACCCCCATATCATCAAATTGAGAATTACGCCATTTCAGGGCCCCAAAGGCCCATATGGTTCAGAGAGCCTGGTGTCCCTATGGAGCACCCTAGAGGGATGGCCGCCACTGTCTCCTTGAACTCCCCCAGTGATGCAGCGCTCACCCCTTTGGGCAGCTCCTCACTCTCCCCCCAACCCCGCAACAGGCTGCCTGTAAATGCATCTCAGCTGCTGGCCCTGTGGTTTCAGCAGATGGGCCCCCACCTCCTGCCACTTTGCTGATCACCCTGAGAGGGTCTGCAGAGCTCTGAGCGAGTCTCTTCATTCATTCATTTCCCTGTACACTTGAGTGTTTGCACCACTAGCTGGCCCACGTGGTTCTGTTGGGCCAGGGCTACAGCCCACAGCCGAGATGAACTGCAAACTCATGATAAACAAGATGTGTGCTTGGGAGGATGCCCAGCCCCTGCCCCGTCCCCGATCATCCCCATTAGGGTGCAGAGCTTGGGGACACCCCAGGAGCAGGGTCATGTTCAGGTCACACCAGGCACCAGGAGCCCAGGTTCTGCAGCAGGCAGCTCGGCACAGCCGCCCAGGCTCGAGTGTGCCATGACCTCTCTTCTTGTCCCCTGTGTGCTGTGGACCAGATCAGGGCATGTAAGTCCAGCTCCAGGGGACCCAGAGAGGGCTCGGGTGTCGCACAGTGTCAGCTGAAACTCTGCTTTGCCACCATCTTACCCTCTCCTTTTCTGCAAACCTTGAAGACGCTGGCCAGAGAATTGCTCCTCTGGGTACAGCCCCCAGCCCGAGTAGGAAACAAGGAAAAGGGACAAGTGATGTCAGAATGGGATGGGAGGGGAGGAAGGGACAGAGGACCCAGAGATGGCTAAGCAGAAGCCCCAGCCCACCGTCCGGAGCTGTCACCTGGCCTCCAGGCGGGGTGCCCAGGGCTGTGCGCCCAGGAAGGCCTCAGCACCGCACGCCTGGGCCTTTGGTGGGAGTTGGTCTGTGAATGCCAGGAGGCTCATGGCACCTGGGTGTCTGAGTGTTTGGGGGAGAAAAGGTCTGGAACCCTGGGGAGTTTGCACGGCATTTGGATAATCCCTGATCCATGGCTCACCAGAACTTTGAAGGCATCTGACCTCAAAACACTGCGGCGTGTGGTCTGTAGGGTGGCTCTAAGCCAAAGGGCTCTGCCCATTGCTGTGGCACCAGAGCACCCCCGTTGGGCACCCGGCTCCCTCTTCTCCTCCTGGGCTGGGCTCCTGGATATCTGACATCAAGGGACCCTGGACCTCATCCCCCTGCCACACCCCCTCCACACACACTGCCCTGGAACTGTCCGGTAAAGCCCCAGATCAGCTGGGGGGGGTGCCAGGAGCCCCAACCCAGCTTCTTCCAGGCACAAGCCCCAGAAAACACTCTACCCTCTCCTTGTGAGCTTAGGAGACGGGCTCCATCTCTGAGAAGCTGCCCCTTCCTGCCCTGCGTCTCCTCTTCCCCCCCACTCAGCTCCTGCAGGTGGGGCTCCAGGCCATGACCTGCCTGCCAGGATCCTGTCTGCTTGGCGGCAGTGTTGCCACATCCCACCGGCCATGTTTCTCATCCGTGCTCCATCACATCACCCTGAGCTCCATAATGAGAGTCAGGAGGGGGCTTTGTGGGTTCACCCAGGCGCCCTGCCCGCACCCAGACAGAGGTGCTGCCAGACTGCCTTTCCCCCACCTTCCATCACAAGAATAGGCTCCCTTCAGCTACTCAGGGACCCCCAAATCATGGCCACGCCAAATGCACGCATATACATAGGAACAGAAGAGAGACCCGGGCAGCTCTGGGGCTCCAGCTCATGGCTCTGAATCGGCCCATGGGTCCTAAAAGGAGGGGTGAGGGTAAGAAGGGGGGCCCTCTCCCAGTGGCTGCCCTGTGTCGGAGGCACCGCCAAGCCCAGGCTTCTGCAGAGCCACGTTCCAGCAGGAGGACCCCAGGATGGAGAGGGCGGGTGGCCGGGGCCCACGCCTCCTGCACGCTGGGAATCCATTAGACGAGCTGACGACAGATGCCTCAGCCTTCCTGCCTGCACGCACCCAGGATGGGGCCAGCGGCTGGCCGTGCCCATTAAACCACAGAGAACCAGCCCAGCAGACAGCCCACAAGTTAGCAGTGCAGGAAACTTCAAATGATGTGCAAAAAAAATCGTCAAGGTTAAGAGAATTTTTCCATCTTTTTGCTCCATAACTCAGCGTTTCTGGTGGGGGTGGTTTATGAGCCGGGGAGCAGGTGGGGCAGTGAGCAGTAGGGAGGCCTTCAAGGCCAAGTTGGGGAAAGTGGGCAGGAAGGCAGCTTCTCTCGGAGATGCTGGGATTCCCGAGGTACAGCCCCAGGCAGCCCAGAGCCCAACTCCCGGCTCCCGAGTGGGCTCAGGCACGGGCGCTGGGTTTCAAACCGGGACACTCAGCCTGAGGCCATGGCTGAAGTGGCCCAGAGGAGAAGCCAGGGGCTGGGCCGCTTCCTGTCCTTTCCCACTTCCCTCCCTCCTCCACTCGGCTGGTACAAGCAGAACCACGCGGGCAGCCCATGGTGGGCACACTGCAGTCACTCTCTCCTGAGCCCCTTCTGCCTGTGTTGTCCTCCTGGGGCGACGCTCTGAACCACAGACCAAACCAGGCCTCAGGCCCTGCCACCAGACTGGGGAGAGGTGACCTTGAGCCAGGGAGCTGGCAGGGGCAGGAGGGGCAGGGAGGCCTCAAGGCCAAGGCACTGGGAAAGCCTCACTCTCAAAGATGCAGCGGGGCACCTTTGGCTCCTGGGCCAGCTTTCTGGGCTCCAGAGAATGTGGCGTCCCGTGTGCCTGGAGGAGGCAGGGAGGCTCTCCCTCTGGTCCTGACCCGCCTCCAGACAGCATGTGAGGCAGCAGCTGGCCGCCTGGGCTGGGAGCCCTGTGCTCCTGGGCCTGCATCTCCCCTGGTGTAAAATGAGTGTGATCAGCACAAGCCTCAGATGTCTACGTGTCCCCCGAGGTGACAAGTGAGGGTCTGCACCAGCACAAAGGGAGACCTAAACCCACGCAGGCTTGGCCACTGCAGAGAGATGGGAGGAAGGAGGGGACAAGGAGACCCTCCTCAGCCCACATCTCCCTTTCTGGAGTCAGACACAGTGCAGGCCCCTCCACACCCCAAACAAGCCAGGCCTGCAGCATGCTGCCCTCCTAGATGGGCGCTCAGGCCCAGGGCCACCCCTGGGTGTATTTCACTGGTCTGAAGCCAAAAAGTAGCACCTTCTGAGGCTCTGCCCCTCCCATGCCATCTTTCAGGGGGCCCTGGTGCCTGACTGTGAGGACAGACACAGGCCTGGCCCCTCTCCCAGCACATCTGCTGCAGGTTTAGGGCCCTAGGACCAGGGCTTCATCTGCCTCCACTGGAGGCAGGGCCAGCTGCTCACCTGCCACCTCTTGGAGGTAGAGTTTCAGTCTCTATGGCAGGAGGGAGTGAACCAAGACTTCCATCGGCCTGGAAAGCCAGCCGGGGTGCCCGCAGGGAGAAGGGGTCTCATCTGACCTTCAGGGCCAGCAGGAAGTACCTGGCACCATGGCAGTCCTCATGGATTCTCGGTTGAGGAGGAAGGCCTTTTCCCAGGGGTGACCAGGAGGGAGAGGCCGCTGACCAGTGTGGGAGCACCTGGAAGCCAACGGGGGCCAGAGGCTTCATTGCTTCCAGGCTCTGGCCCTGTACCCCAAGAGGGATGGGGACATCTTGAGGCCCCGGTACCGCGTCCTGTGTGGGCAAGCACCCAGGCCTGTCTATGTTCATACATGCCTGAGAGAACAGATGTTCACCCTGGCACAGGGAAGGTTTGGGAGAGCACAGGCCACGTTCAGATACTGGCTGGGTGGTTGTGTGGGAAAGAGGCTTGCTCTGGCTAGGCAGAGGGTACCCAGAAGGCAGGCCCTGTCCATCCGCATTATACAGCAGGGCCACCCAGACCCCAGGCAGGCTGGAGCCCACGGTGGACTCCGGTGTCTGCGGGCACTCAAGAGCCCCCAGGCGTCAAAGAAGGGCTTGGGCGTGGGGCCGGCTGGGATGAGCGTGGAACCTTCCAGCTGTTCCACAGGGGCGCAGATCTACAAGGACCACCACGCATTGGGCATGGAGCTGCCTGCAGCGCAGAAGGCAGAGGGCCCCTCAGAGGCTGTCTGCGAGGCCACCAGGAGTTTCAGGGGCTTGGCCTGGGCCTCCAAGACCGACTCTCATCCTAGGACATTCTGCGCAGGCCCTGCGACTCCCAGAACCGTGACGAGGGGAGACAGAAGGGCCGAGTCTGGGAGGTGGTGACAGGGAAGGGAGCCATCTCCGGTGGGCAGTGCCCCTGGCAGGACAGAGGGGGAGCCCAGGCAGTCCTGGGCCATCTCCTCAGGACAGATTTGTCATTTCCCATAACACACCCAGCTGGCCCCCACAACCACACAAGCGGCACCCCTGACCACGCGTGCTTGCACATGTTTGCACGCTCATGTATGTGCATATATGAGCAAACAGTGGTCAGATAGTTAGATGACTTCTTCCAGCGATTTCTTGGGGAAATAGACCCTAAGCCCTGGGAAGTCAGGGTAAGGAACCCCTAGACCCCAGGAGAAGGCGGGTTGGGGACAGAGCCTCGCATGTTGGCTCATGGGGCAGTTAAGTCCAGACTGTGCTCCAGGTGGGGCTGGGGGCAGAGAGAAGCACCTGCATGTGCAGAGAGGGCAGGCCCAGGCCCAGAGACAGACACCACCCAGTCCGGCAGCTCCCCCTGCACAGGGACTTGGGGTGGGGACCACAGGCCTCGGTCCCCACGGGGTAGGGCGGGGGTCCACGGGTCCTGGCCAGTCAGCCCCCTTCCTCCCAGTGGCAGAGGAAGGTGGTGGGCTGCCTCACCAAGCTGAGGCCACTAACCACAGGTTTCGTTCAGTGGGTTTCCTGCAGTTGGAGGGGGAGGTGAGAGGAGTTCCCCCAAGAGGTGAGAGTGCCTAGGGGCTCTCCCAGGTGGGCCTGCGCCCCCTCCCCACAGCTGGAGGCCGGCACAGAGTGGGCCATGCCCCTGGGTACCCTGAGGGTCTTGGCAGGAGCACCGGGGGCTGGGAGGGTGGGACGCAGAACTCCCGTGCGGCCGCACTGTCCCCCACACCCCGGCTGCCTTCCGCCTCCACCCTGCCCAGGCCAGCCTGGTCTCTCACGTCTCTTTCAGGTTTAGGCCCATTTGGTTAAAGCCCCCCAAGTGGGGAATTCTCAGAGCTGAGGCCCCCCGGCTCACAGCTGCTCTCCAGGTCAGCCTCTGGAGGCATTGACAAAGCCTGGCCCGGCCGCCTTTGCCCGGAGACTTGGCATGCATGGGAGGGGCTGCCACGGGCTCTGGGAGGGCTTCAGGGCGCAAGAGGGTGCACAGCTGGAGTAGGGTGGTGCCTGTGCATCCCCCGCAAAGAAGCTGCCTACCATAACCTCCATTTCCTTGTTGTTGGGGGCAAGGCAGGACCTTGGCCATTAGAAAGCATCTGCAGATGTCGGGGGCCACCTAGACTGTTTCTAAGCACCCCAATTCTCTTCCCAGAAGAGCCTCTCCAGGCCTCAGGGACAGCCCCTTTCTCTTTCCAGGTTCTTCCGGCTTAGAACAGGATACTCAGGACACCCTCCAGGGAAAAGAGGCTGTGGTTCCCTAGTCAGCCTCCTCTGTCCTTGCTGAGACGGGCCACTGTCCCTGCCCTGACCTCACTGGGTCATTCTGAGACCCTGCCCACCCAGACACACCTTCTCACCTAGATATACCCGACCACCAGAATATTCCTGTGCACCAGGACACCCTCCCTATTCCAGACCTCAGTGAGGTGGCGGCATCAGCCCCTCCCTCCATCCCGCCCTCAGAGCCGGGGCTGGCCTGCCCAGGAAGTTGGTGCAAGATGCTGCTGGGTCCGTGGCTCTGGATTCAGAACCCCAAGCAGACACTGAGCAGGGCGGGCAGGGGGTAGGGGAGACTGCATATCAGGGTCCTGCTGGTCTAGGGAGACCCTCTCAGCAGGAACATCAGTCAGGTCTTCCCATGAGCGACCCGCTCAGAGATGCTGAGAAGCCCCTGAGTGCTGCTGTGGGGGGTGCATTCAGAAAGCGACAGCAGACCGGGTGGCCATCAGCAGCCAGGAGCCTGCATGCAACCTCTGAACCTGCCCATGTCAAATGGAGACTTTCCACTTTTGGGAAAACTAAATGTTTTTCTACTTTCAGAGTGATATGCATGCTGGCCTGAGCGTGCACAACGCACACAGGTGCACACACACATGCATGCACATGTGTGCACACACACACTCACACCCAGACTCCTATCAGCCACACACTCAACACCTTTACCTTCAAGAAAGCTTTTCTCCAGCAGAGCACCCAGCTCTCCCTAGCAGAGGGCTCTGTTCATAGACACAGTGGCCTCTGCTTTCTCACACGTGGGACAGCTCTGCTGGGGAGTTTTCACAGTACTGGTGGCACCTTTACTGCTGGGCCAGGACAGTGATCTGCATGGTGAGAAAAGGAAGAGCTGCCCCCCCTCCACTAAGGGGCTCCCAAGGCTCCTGGGCGTGGGCAGCAGGGTTGCCGGAGGGTCAGTGATGTCCAGGTGCCAAATCGCCTTCCCTCTCTGGCCTGTGCAGCTGGTCCCTGTTTGAGCTGATCTGGAGTGTGTAGTCTCAAGCACACAGGCTGCCTCTGACCCTGGTTTTCTTTCCTGGGCAGATCTCCGAAGACCTGAGCAGTGAGAAGTTCTGCATGGATGCCAGTTTGGCGGGGGCCGGCAGCTGGCTCAAGTACATCCGTGTGGCGTGCTCCTGCGACAACCAGAACCTCACCATGTGTCAGATCAACGAGCAGGTAGGTCCAGGGCTTGCGCATGGGGGACATCTGCGCTCAGCATCAGGCTTGGGGCTTTGGCACCAAGACAGATGGGGGCTGCCAAGGTGAGGGGTCAGCTGCGCCTCTGCCAAGGACCTCTGCCAAGCCCCATCCTGCCGGGGGGCGGCTATCTGATGCTTGGCTGGTGCTGAGTTTCCGGGAGCTCAGCGACACCCCATGAGTGCTCCAGTGGAGCCTTCCGTAGGCCTCGCCCAAGGTTGCCAGGGCTTGAGAGCTGAAGGATGACGGTTTGCGTGGAGAAAAGGCACCAGAGCAGGCAGGACCCGAAATGGGGGGGCTCTGCATTCCCCAAATGGCTCCCCATGTGAGAGGAATGGAGAACCATGTCCACATGGCTCTGTTTAACCACACTATCCAGAAGGGTCAGCACTGGCCATTGGAAGGCGAGGCACAGCCCCAGCTGCCCAGAGCCCCTGAGAATTGCTACAGCAGCCTGGCCCGCCTGCAAAGGACTGGCCATGTTTGGCACAAAGTCCTGGCCCCACTGGGAGCCAACTGATATTTTTCCTGAGCTGTGTGGCTCTGACTTCAGCCCCAGGCCCCACCAGGGCCAAGGGACACCTTCACTTCTGCTTCCAGTGCCCCCCCACTGGTGGTTCCAGAGACCAAGGACCCCACTCAACACAATGGATCCTTGCTTTCCATGTACCACCCCAGGCTGCAGGCATTGCTGGCTCTTGTCCTTCTAGTGGGTATCCAGACCCCTTAGCTGACCAGGATAGAAGATGCCGTGTAAAGTTTCTTTCAACCAAGGAGGCAATGTGTCCCCAGTGCTGGGAGCTCTTATGTGATGTCTTACATGACAAGCTTGCAAGTGGCCCCAGGAGACTGCATGCTCCAGAGCCAGGCCCCTCAGGCCACGTTTTCACCATGTTCCCAGAGCGCTGGGGGCCTGGGGGCCCAGCACCTCCCAGCACAGCAGTTTGCATCTGCCTATGGCATCTTAGGGTTACACATGAGATTTCATTTGCCAAAAGGATTCCATTGCTTTCGAAAATGTTTTCGGAGACCACATAACAAAGGGTGCATTCTCGCATTGCCTGTGCAAACCATTAAAAGCTGTTGGAGGTTCTTGACTTTAGAGAAAGTTTTGCATTAAGAAACTCAGAGACCTCACATCAGGGAGGTCCCCAGGACCCACCAGCTGCCTGCCGGCCCCCCCTCATCTGCTCAGTATGCTTCTCAGCCTTAGGGCTCAGCCTGGACCAAGCAGTCCCCCGCTGGACGCAAGCTGGTGCCAGACACCAGGAAGCTTGAATGCACCTCTGCTGCCTTGACGCCTGTGGCATTTAGTTAGAACCTAGTATTTTGAAAATAACTTTTTTCTTTTGATTACAAAATGCATTGAGGAAGTAAAGCAAAAGAATAACCATAAAATTAGGACAGAAGTTTTAAAAAAAACCTTTTCCTTCTTCCAAATGAAAGCAAAAGGTGAATAAGGCACTAAAGTGATGGCCACTGAGACACCCTTGCCCTGCAAAGCGTGTGTCCCTGGCCGTGTGTCTGGAAGCCGAGAGGCAGTGGGAGAGCAAACACTATGGAGCTGGGTCCAGGGCTGCGCTTTCTGAGACACGGAATAGAATAATGAAGGATCCAGATGACTTATTTGAGAAATAGATGTTTGATAGAGTGATTGACGCACACTTAAGCAGTAGATACCTTTATGTGGCAAGCTTTTGAAAAAGCAAACAGATGTGTAATCTTCTCAAAGGGCAGCCTGTCTTCAAACATCTTTGTTTTGTTACTAATATTTCAGGGAAGCGTTCATTTCAGCCCCACATAAGGTCCAAATGGAATTGTCTGCTTTGCAACAAACTCCTTCCATTGTCAGGACCAAGGGACAGAACAATAACCCTCTGCCTGGAGCACTCCTGGGCCTCAGAGGTGATTCCTGGTGTCATAGGGTAGCTGAGGTTCCCGCCAGCATTCCCTCTGAAGGCGCACCTCCAAACTTAATCAGCTGCGTGGATGTGGCCCCCAGAATTCCACAATAGCAGAAGCCAACAAGAGGCATGAGGAGGCTGGGTGGCCGAGCTCCGGAGGGGCTGAGAAGGTCGTCAGGCACCAGCTCCCCATCCTAAAATCTCGTCTCTGCATTTCAGGTATCATAGGAAAATAAGCAATTTGTGGGATGTGTTTTCCTATGAAAAATAATACAAAAAATTTAAACCATAATAATATGAAAAACAGCTCTTAGATATACATGGACTCTCGTTATTTGTTGGTTGAATGAAGTGAATTTTAAAAATACCTTTTTGAAAGGGATATAATACATTTCAAACTGTATTTTAGACAGGTTCCCCAAAATGGACTTGTTCTCTCTCAGTGGGATGGCTACACGGCCTCAGCAGGAAGTATTTCCATCCCCAAGTCCTGGCCACTGGAAACGTGTATTACTGCAAAGCAACTTGCCTTTATGTGGAAGCTGGAATAAAAACTTCCCTGAAACAGTAATAATAAAACACAGATTTCTGAGGACAGACTTCTGTTTGAGAAGGAAACATTACACGATATTAATGGGGTTTCTCAGATTTCCATAAGCCCTAGAGTTTCTACAGGGATTTCCTGTTACTTATGGAACCCCATGACCCCTGCCCCACACACATACACACACAAACACACAAACACACAAACACACTTAAGTGAACAATTTCCCTTCTCTCCCTCATGCCTTCACACATACACCACCTCCAGCACAGCACAGACATAGAAGGGAAGACAGATTGGAGACCTAAGACCCATAAAATAGTCGGGGTTTGCCGGACAGCATTCCAGAGGGAGGTCACGTAAACCAGAAAAGCTCTGATGTCGTCTTGAAGGTCAAAACATGTGACCTCAGCCCCAGTTTTCATAGGACAGAGATGACAGGCAAGAGAGAGTCTCAGGGTCCTAAAGAGAAAGTTCCAGAAGCCACAGCTCCCAGATGAAATGACCAGGCTGAAGGGGGACCATGTGTCCTTTGGAGAGACCACATCAGCCACAGGTCAGAGGCTGGGGGTGTCAGCCCGTCGTGGTTGTGCGTCCCTGCCGGCTCTGGGAGCAGGCGCAGCCCCACTCCCCCCGTGGGTCAGCGCAGCTAGTGGGGCTCAGGCTCTGGGCGAGGCGGTCTCTGCAAGTACAGCTCTGTCTGCGTGGCCAGGCCTGGTGTTTCCTGAACCTACTGGACCGCGGGCCATGTGCCCTCCCAGCCGCACACCCCAGGCCACTGCCTGGGTAAAGACAGAGGTGGGCACATGTGCTCCCATGAGGCAGAGGGCAGGGGATGACGGATGTGAGAAGAAGTGAGCCCAGGGCTTGGCAGTTTCCGTGTCTGAAAGGCTCCCGGGGGGACTCTTCCTATGTGCCACCTCCTGGCCGCGGGAGGGCCACTCACAGAGGCCCCGACACCCCACCTCCCTGGGCAGCACGGGCTCTGGCTCTCTGAGAGCTGGGCCGCTTCTCCATGGACAGTGTCGTCCCCACAGCCGTGGAATGCAGGGCAGTGTCCACAGCCTCGGCTCCAGGTTCTAGCCTCCAGAGACCCCCTCTCGACACCCTGAGGCTCCAAGAGCTCCCTGGCCCGGGGAACCCTGGGGAAAGCCGGCCTGCCTGTCGCTCTGCCCTGCCCCTCCAGCTCCCACCCGTCGTCGTCCTGTGGCCCCAGCTAGGGGAGCCCAGGGCAGTGGAGGCCACGGTGTCCCAGCTCCGTCGCCCACAGCCAGCCCTGGGGCAGCACAGGCTTTGGGGAAGCCCGGCTGCTGGAATGTCCCCAGCGGACAGCCAGGTGGACCGAGTCTTTCTCTGGGATATTTGGGGGTGGTCCTGTCACAGCCACGGAGCTGGGATGCTTTGATGTACCTCCAGGCTTAGCCCAGGCAGAAAGCAAAGGAAAGCCTGGGGTGCTGGGTTCACTTAGGGTGACGTGTCCCCCACCCCCCAACCATTTGCCAACTCCCGCCTTTCCTTTTGGAAAATTTGAGACACTCAGATCACCCCCGGGTGGTTCTTTCTGCGATCGTGAGCAGAGGAGTCGGTTGGAATGTTTTGGGAGACGCAGACACGGTCTGTTCCCGGATCCGTTTTAATGAGAAGAAAGAAACCAGGAGCTGGGAAATAGAGTGCCTGCCGGAGGCGGGAGGCAGGAAGGGGCCGTACGCACCATGGCGGGATGTCCCACGGCCAGTGGGGCTGAGGATGGTGTGGCATGGGGCTGGGGTCCCCCACACGTGTTGGGGAGCAAGAGTCAGGGGCTCCAGTGCACCCCCAGGGCTGGCCGGGCCTCGGGGCACCCCGCCCACCTGCACATTCCTCTGGTACAGTCTGGGGCTCAGCCCAAGCGGAGGGCAGGGTCTCCCCAAAGTGGAAGCAGACAAAGGCTAATCTCCTTCACAGAGTGTGTTAAACAAAGGCATTTCATTAGCAGATTAGCTGACTGATAACCACGCAGTGCTAGCGATGAGAGCCAACGCTTGTGTTTAATGAAAACCTGGTGCTTCCGGGCCACAGCGTTCCCCTTGCTCCCACGTGGACCCCTCTGTGTGTCGGGTGTGCGAGCAGCAGGCTTGGAACCTTACACCGCCCTGCCCTGCTCGGTCACCGCGACGCTTCCTTACTGACTTGGCTTTCATTCCCACAGAATTTTTAAAGTAGAAATTGTAACTGAATTGGCCAGCTTAAATGGCAGCTTCCAAACAATTAGATACAATTTTCCCTTTGAAAATGAAGGGCAGGGGATTCATTTTAGCATTTCTTAACCAGTTTACAAAAGACTTAAAAATAGATAGGAAATGTGTTTTGAGTCAGAAAGCTGTGGAATTTTACATGCCCTCTTCAGAGCAAACCGACCCTCTTCTGGGCAAAGAACAAAATATGAATTCAACCACACTATCACAGTACCAGCTATAATCAATTGTCAGAATTCATATTCCTTCCCTTGTTAATCAGATGGAATGCTTTATTACAAAAAGCTATTTAACAATGATGAGGACAATTTCACTGTGAATAGTAATTTATATTTTATGTATGTGCACATCTGACATATAATATCCAGGTCCAAACTACGGCTAAGAAAAAGCTAAGTGTGTAGAATTTTTTTTTTTTTAATGTTTGAGCTGCTGGGAAGGTGACAAAATACATAGCAACAAGATGTAAAGATTTGGGCACCGTTGCTTCAGCCGCTCATGGAAGAAAGGAACGTGGCAAGTCCAGGGGCTCCAAGCCTTCTCGGCTCAGCCAGAGGAGGGAATTGTCTGCATGTCCCCAGAGCCTGCGGCGGTGCCAAAGCCACCCCTGAGCCCGCGCCCCTGCTCAGCTCCGGAAGCACAGGCCACCAGAGGAGGCTCTCACAGTGAAGGCACAGACAGAGCAGAGAGAAGTAAAGCGCTCTGCCCAAATGCTCGGCAGCTCCAAACGCCGTCCCTGCGGGATCTTGGAGCACCACGTAGGTTGTTTAGAAAACTCCAAAGGCTCAACTCCTCTGCCAGCCTCAGGCTGCTGGTGTCTACAACCTTTCCCAGAGAGAGATGCCCCTCAGTTTGGCGACAGCAAGTAGTAAAGATACACAGTGACACTTCCAAAGTCCTTGAGGCAATGAGGCAGCGCTGGGGTGCACCCAGTTTTTTCAGGGATCCCCGAGAGACCAAAAATGTCCAGGGATAAATAACCCTTGTACCAACATCCTGTCTCAGAAGGACAGGCAGGAGGCAAGACCCGGCCACCAGGCTAATTTGCTTTTCAGCAACAGCCCTTAGAGGAATTCAAATTCCCCTGGCTGTGTGCTTCTCCTGTGAAAAGCCCCTTGCACACCACACCACGAGGCTTCACAGATTCAAGCGCAATTGAATTCTGAAATACAGGATGGAGAGAGATTGATTTTTTAAAATAAGCCCACTGGAAGGGATTTCACTTATTTTACTCAAATGCTCCTTTTAAGTCTCCCAAACTGGTTAAGAGAGAGGAAAGCTAAGCCAGTTCTCTTGGTCGCGTTTGCGTTTTTGAGAAAACCGTTTGTTCCTGGGAGGGGAGAGCAGTGGCTGCAGCCTGTGTTCAGTGCACTGCCTGGCAGGCTACCCACTCATTTCCACCAGGGTAACTTGGATTGAGTTTTTCACATTTCAATTTTAAAATCCTCAGATGAAGGAGGAAGGAAAATCATGGAACTTAAGCCTTCCTATTCAAAAATAGTGTCTATCTTTGTGAATTGATTTGGTGCATTAAAAAAACAAACAACAAAAAAAAACAAGGAGTTCTAAAGAGAAAGCACCTAAAACGGACAGCCGTTGTAAATTTGAAATCTTTCTTTGTCTTAAGGGTGTTGCTGGGGGTGCAGGGCATGTTCATTTTCATAACAGACTCCGTCTAAGCGAACGCGGGCTGTGCTGAATCCGACTTTTCTCAGGCACTCTCTCTGCCTTTTGTTGACAACGTGGCCATTTATTTGTCCCAGGGCCCTATTTACCTACAAGGAGCTGTCTTTTTGGGTCCGAAGAGGGGAAACAGGCAGGGTTGCGCCGGATACCGTTCTGATTCCGAGGACCTGTGTTTGGGGTCCTTCGTCTGTATTCTGTTAAGTCACTGTCGTCACAAAGAGAACCTGAAGTGTCGAAACAAGGACTTAACGTGTTTGGCCTCGTTATTTTTTAAAGCCGTTTAGAGCAGACATTTATTGGCACTAGTAAACTCAGCTGTTGTCCCGGCTTTCCCCTCTCAGATCCTGAAACCGGAGAGAAAATCCCAGCTCAGTCCTGCCGGGGCTGCACACCCCAAGGGCTGAAAGGGGGCTGAACAGGGCAGGGGCTGCAGCTGTTCAGGAGGCTGGTGCCCGCCTGCTGCCACTTAAACGCCTGTTACCTCCCTCCCTGGGGCTGAGCTGGGAAACGGCGGCAGAGGCCGGGGTGTCTCCTCCTTGGAAGAACGCGCTTCTCTCTCTCCCCCCTTCCGGAAGCTCAGGGCTCAGCTCTCCAGATGCTAAGGTGGCCCTTGGGTCTGAACGCGATGCACTGACGGCACACGATGACAGGAAGGTTATAAACCCACCCTGGGAATTGTTAAGCGGCTGCTGGGCACGGTTACAGTGAATATGCGTTTCTAACACCCCCGAGGCAGAGGGCGGCCCAGCCGCAGTCCCACCGATCCCCGGTCTTTGTCCCGGGAAGGTGCTGGAACCGCAGACCTTCAACGTGGCCCTGGGCACGACTGCTGGTAAGGCCTGTGTGCCATTGGGAGCAGATCCTAAAAACGCATCGCTTTCTGCCGGCGCCGTCCGCCATGCCCCTGGAGTTCGGGAACGTTTGCGCGGACCGCCGCGCCCCCCCGCCCCCTCCCGTAGGGGGAGGCAGGTCGGGACACCCCTGCCATTAGCACTGACAGCGATTGATTCCATTTGCGGCTCCAAGTCCGGGCGGCCACGGCTGCCGCCCGCCGCCCTGTGTCCTGTGCCGCGTCCCCGCCCGGCGCTCAGCGGCGCTGCCGCGGATCCCGGCCGGGGAGGGCGCGTCGGCTGCGCTCGGAACTGCTTCCCCCGCCAAGCGCGCTAGACCCTCCCGCGGAGGCTCGGGGAGCGGCCCCAGGCGGCCGGCGGCCCGCGGAGCCGGGGAGGGGCGGGGGTCCGGCGGCCTCGCGTGCGCCTGGGGGTCCCGACGGGTCCGGCGGCCCTCGGAGTCTTGGCGGGGGGGGCGTCCCGGGAGCGCCGAGGGGGCGTGGGGGGCCCGCAGGCCGGGGGGCCTCGTGGGGTGCGAGGGGGTGGCCGGCGGCCTCCCAGGACCCGCGGGAGGAGCAGGCCGTGTGCGCTTGCCGGGTGCCCAAAGCTTGTCGCCGCTTTGTGGGAGCGTCCTGTGCCCTTTGGGTTGGGCTTCAAATACAGCGCCTTGTCTGATTTTTTAAAAAAAGCTATGCAGCCACTGTGTGATTTTTTAGGTAAAAGGATACTGAATTGGGATCTTAAGGATTGATTTGATTACCGAACTTAATACGTCCAGTTTCTATCCTCCATTGTAAATTCTGGTTATTCGGAGACCTCCCTGACAATAATCGCCAACTCGGTCACCAGGGAAAGGGGAGTTCGGTTAGTGAGATGCGCGCCTGGGCACACGGCCTCCAACGCAGCTCTGCAGCCCCAGGGGGCGGGGAATGTGACTCCAGGGCGCACTGGGGACCCAGCGTGGCTCTGGGTGTCCTCAGGTTCCCCAGCGTGTTGTGGGGTTCTTCCTGGCCACGGCCTGTGGATAAGGGGACGGGGCCCCACAAGTGGTCAGGAAGCTCAGCCTCCCAGATGTTTCCCAAGGCGGGAGGCGGGGGAGAGGGCCGGGGAACTGGGCAGACACCTGCCCAGACCATGTCCAGCTGCTGCTGGGAAGCCTGGCCTGGCCCCTAACTGCCAGGTCCTCCCTGGGGACCTCTAGGTGGGAACTGCCTGGTGAAGCCTGAGCTCCGGGGCCTCTGGGCCTGGTGGTCTGTCTCAGGTCTCTGGACCCCCCAGCCGGTCGGGGTGCAGGCCTTTCGGCTCTGGAAGTCTCTTGGTTGCTGTTCACTGAATAGAGACCCAACCCCACGTGTAGGGTGGTAGGCAGTGGGTCTGCCTGAAAGAAATAACCCCCTGTCTGGCATCTCCGGATTTAAGGTCAGGACCCTCTGGTGTCAGCCCTGCTCACATGAGGAGCGGGCACCCCCGCCCAGAGGACCTGGTCCCTGGAGAGGGCAGGGGTTCCCAGGCAGAGTCTAGCAAAGGAAGGAGGGCCCCAGTTCTCCCCAGCGGTCACCTAAGCCTATGGACCCTGATCACTGGGCGCCACCCCAGAGGGCCCCTGCCGTGTCACCCTTCTGAGTTGCTAGAGTTTTCTTAATCTTGGCCAGCACCTTCAACGTAGAGGGTCCTTTTTAAGGGGACACACTGGTGAACTACGGAGTATTTAAGGCTGTGTGGGGCATCAGCTGGACATTCTGAATTCACCCCCTCAGACCTCAGAGCCGCCCCAGGCTGCACAACTACCCTGAGCCTCCCCGTCTTCAGGGGTGTCCCCCGATGGCCGCTGCAGCCCCCTCCTCCCCTCATGGATGAGACTCACAGCCTGGTGTCCTGGCCCGTGGGAACATTGTCTGAGTCCAAGGCCACCTTCATAAACATCCAGATTCACTCTCAGCTCCATCTAGACCCCAATCCCCCACCCCCCAGAGCAGCAAAGGGTGTCTTACATACACATTGACAAAAGGAACCCCAGAATCAATGTAGGCCCCACTCCTGATGAAAAGGGCCCTCCTTCCTGATATTTAACACCAGGACATGCCTTGCATGGGAAATTTGGGGCTAATGCTTTGTGTCCCCTTTATCATATCCCAAAACTGGATAAGACAAATTAAAGAGGGACACTGGTCCTTTTGAGCATATTCTGCAAAGTTTCAGAGGGGAACCTCTTAGCAGCAATTAGAAGATAGGTCATGTGGCCAGCAGGCCAGGCTCCCCGACAAGCAGCATCAGCAGCCTGCGGGCTGGGTGCACACAGAGGGCTCTCAAAGCAGCCAGGACCCCCCACGCTCACCCCTTCTCTCTGGTTTCTCCATCCTAGATTTATTATAAAGTCATCAAGGACATTGAGCCGGGAGAAGAGCTTCTGGTGCATGTGAAGGAAGGCGCCTACTCCCTGGGGACAGTGCCCCCCAGTCTGGATGGTAAGCCCCCACCTGGCAGGAGCAGAGGCCCCCCGCCACTTCATGCTGTGTGACAGGGGCCGAGCATCCCTGAGCTGCTGTCACGGCCCGCTGCTCGGACCCCCGGCCGGCAGGACCAGTGCCCTGTTCATGGCTTCTCAACTCAGCCCTCCCTGCTCCTTCCTCTAGTTACATAAGCTGCACGCTGAACTCAAGATAGACTTCAGACAGAATGGGTGAACAAGCGTCCTGTTGAGTTATGTCTTTGCAGATGGTAGAGTCCTGGGAGACTTTATTTAACTGTATTATTATTAATTAATACTACTATATCAGCACAGCGCCATTTGCTCTCCCCAGTACTTAAACAAGCAAACCAGTTTTGTAGCTTGGAAACATTCACCTTCCAGAGCTCTGTGCCGTGGAGAAGTTTCAGTCTCATTTAAAAGAGGGCAGTGACAGCATATATGTCTTCGGAAGTAACGTCCATCTGTGTTTACAAGCAAAGCTTCCAAGAGAGATGTTGAGGGAAGATGGATTTGGAGAGGGAAATGCAGGGTCCCGGGGGGTCTCTCAGCAGGATGGACAGCACCGAAGCTCCCCCATTAGGATGGCGAAGCACGCTCGGACGTCCCTGCCCCCCGACTCATCAGCCGGTACTTGTCCGGTAGGCACACTTCCGTTCCTCACGCATCCACACCAAGCTCATCTCAGAGGATGTTTGAGAAAGTTCCAACCTCAGATAGGCTAGGCTGTCTGAAGTACACATCTACTTCCCTTCATCCACGTGGGGAAGCAATGTGCCCGTTCACCTTGGGATTCGGGAACCGTTTTTAAGTCACAGGAAAAGTTGGTCCGTTAACTCCCAGAGCACTGCTGGTGAACAGCGGCGTCTCCCTTCTGAGACCCGCGGGTGAACAGAGAAGTAGCCTCCCTGTCGAGCCGTCTCTGGAGCTGATGGCTCTCTTCATGCTAGAGAAGGGGGTGGCGGGGAGGCTGGTTTTCCCTTCCTGTCTTTCTTTTCTCCCCTCCAGACACACCAAGGCTTCATGATTAATGCCACTAATTGCACATTTCTCTAAGGAACCGTTCTACTGTTACGACACAGGCGTGGCATTGGCTGGGCCGGAAAGCAGACCGGGATCTTGCCTTAATTTACCCTTTCTATCCCTGAGCATGGCCCAGCAATTAGGGTCCTCCTGGGTTGTTCCAAAAGAAATCACCACAGAAGGACAATTTTATGAGCTGGATCCTAGCCTTACTCTCCTCTAAAGTTTGGTTTTAATTAGGCTGTGGAGAAAAGCAAAATCAATGGCTGAAAGCTGGGTAGCAGGGGGATGGTCTCATTTTCCTTAAAATAATTGTTGTAAAGACCTATGAATCTCAGACAACAGAAGGGAGCTCTGAAAGGTAAACCCATTGAGCTCAAGGAGAGTACTTGACTGTGGGATTTCATTTGTATAATGAAATTTCTTTCTTTCAGAAGTTCTTAAAAACCTTGATTTGTACTTGCCCCTCTAAATCCTGATCTTAAATAACCTGGGTCCACATTTTCCTCATCATTCATCAAACATTTGTGGGCTAAGTTCTTTGCACACATCAAATATTTGACTTCTCATACTCTTTGCTGTCAAGATCACGCCTTTGCCTCCCAACAGCCACCTCCCTCCCCAGTTAAACTCTGAATCGCACAGAAAGAAAAATGCAAAAATGTTCCTCACTAAGATAATTATCATAAAAAATCTTTTATCCCAGCCCCAGCTAAATGCAGCGGCCCCTTATCACGGCAGGAATTTGGAGTGGGCTCTCGAGCGCTTTTGAGCCTCCTGTCTGCTAGATTAGCATGTAGATGCTACATAATTGTGTCCCCCTCGGCTCTGTGAAGCCATTAGGTGCCGATTTATTTTTCTGTTACGTTCCTGCTCCGCCATGAAAAGTTGCTGAAGGAACTTCAGATAGACAAGCGGGGCGCAGATTTCACAAACAAGACATCCGGCTGCCACGGTGCTGGTTTAGTTTAGTTTTGGGTAGAAGATAGTTTCTCCCCCAGCCATGGCCCCTGCGTACCCTCACCCAATTTAGATGAAGAGAGTTCAGCTTTGAATCACAATTTTTGTGCGTTCTTGTTGGGGGTGCAGCGGGTTTTGGCGCAGACACGTTCAGGCATCGCAGAAGAAGCAGAGGCTCCGGCTCACCGACTCACGGGGCAAACAGCCCCAGTCCTGCTGGTCCAGGACTGGAAACGCTTTCAAAACTGCAGCTTTGCAAAGAAATGCAGTTCCCATTCTGCTAGGAGTGATTCAGAGCAGAGGAAAGCCACTTTCAGATTCATCAGTTCCAGCGACTTGTTATTTTGTTTTTACTCTTTCAATGGAGAGGGGGAAAGATTTCTCTTTCAGGAGAACTTCTTGCTCTTGAGAGAAAAATAAAGAAAATCGTTTCCATTCAAATACGCTTTTCTTTTGTGAAAGGCTCAAAATTATTAACTTTTCCCCCTCTCCAAAAAGGTCAAGAGGATGCATTGTATTATGTATAAAGCATATGAGATAGACAGATGAAAATAAAACAAAACTTAATAAAACAAAACATAATCAATACAATGTAACATAATATAACCAGAATATAACATACTCTTTTAATATTTCTTTAAAATGGAATGCTGATGTTGGGAAATGGAAACCGTGTGGGCTGGGCACATCTTTCCTGCCCCCATCCAGCTCGCCCCAGGTGTGTCTGCAAGGCCAGCCTTACCTGTGTGCAAGTCAGCCGGGACGCCTGTCCACACCGCTGCACGGAGGGGCGGCTCGTAAACGTGTCCCGTCCACAGCTCTGTCCTTCGACCAGGGCAAACCTGGGACTGTCATAGGATGGGGCGCAAAGGTGGAGGGCATTCATCTCCACACCTGGTTCCACCCCTCCAGGGCACCCCAAAATGCTCTCAGGGGGAGAATCAGGCTGAATTTTCATTTTAAATCCAAATTCTAGATCAAAACTGAAAAAATAAGTTGGTCAGTGTTATGGATGGGTGGGGCTGGTATTTCTTCTTATCTTTGTTTTCAAATTTTAGCTTCTGTGATTGTTCCTAGTCAGGTCCAGAAAGAGTAACATACATGCTGGCATTTCTCACTCAATCGATCGTGCTGCTGGTGGGAGGGCTCCATCGCAGCCTCATTCCTGCCCAGGAAGTCAGAATAAACCCACAAGAGCAGTTTTGTGGGGTCTGTGCATCCGGCTCCGTTCTAAAATGGTGTTCTTGGTACTCAGATGTAAAGGAAACCCACATTTCTAAAAACAAGGAAGGCCTGCAGAAGAGTGACAGTATTTCCCAAACTCGCATGCCCCAGCGCATGGGGGCTACCCCAATGGGAAGCCGGAATTCTGCCGCCCTGCTTCCTGGGCACCAAGCAGACACAGGCTCTGTGACACAGCCCTACCACGTCTTCTCTGGGTACCCTGGGCCAGTTTTTCAGTCTCTCCTGGTCTCAGTTTACCCCTTATAAAGCAGGCATTTAAGTAGTCCCCCCCTGGGATCATGTGGAGCGATGCAAGCCTTAGATGCATGGATATCATAAAGCTCTTAGGTCGGTGCCTGCCCCGTGGAGGCTCCCCGGCCCTCGGATGTCAGCTCCGTTTTTCACAGTATGTTCACAGTAGACATCTTTCTCGGAAAGGGTTTGCATGCTCGAGCTCCATTTCAAGGACAGCACCATGGTGGCTGGCAGAGTGATTGTTCTGTGATGTGCATCGCCCTGGCCCACCTCCCCCAGCCCCACCCCACGAATCCTGTTTGGGGTTCCACCCCAGCTCCAGAGGACCAGCCTGGCCCAGTGGGTTTTGTTTCAGAATCCTCTCTGACTTCGCTGTCCAGGCAGCCATAGGCCATGGGGCCCACTCCTGTGCCCTCTGCCAGGGGCTCCAGCCATGGCAGGAGCGCCAGCACCCAGCAGGCGTCTGTGTTCGCAGCATTTGCTGTAGCTCTGTGGCACAGTGCCCTGCTGCGTCCCTGGCTGCTGGGGTCTGTGTGGACAGACTGACCTCCTCACCTCCTTCCAGTCATTCTGTAGCTCCGCAAGTGTCAGGGGCAAGCTCCGGGGGCGGCCCTCCCAGAGGACGTTCGGGGCAGAGCCTTCCCAGCCCCAGAGGCCCAGGCAGAGGCCCTGTACCCACTCTCTCAGGGCTGGGGGTTGTAACTTGACTCCCAGACTCGGAGCAGGGCTGCTTGTTCCCATTCTTGTTTTCCTCTGAACAAGCGCTTTCCTGACAGCAGACTCATGTCAGTAGCAGGCCAGGATGTCTGACCAGCACTGCGGCCTGCCTGGCCTGTCCCAAACACACACGTCCCCAGGGCTCCCCTTGGCCCGGCAGACCATCCCCTGTCACCCAGATATCTGCCTCCACGAAACAGTGTGAACAAAAGTCACATTAGTGTGTCCAGAGCGCCATCCACTGCCCAGGGGCATCTAACCCAGCTCCCTCAGAGTCTCCCCCTGGGCTCTGGGGAATGGGCTCGGGGTGCCCACCAGTGGGGATGCCAAGTGTGGCCAGACCCCGGGAACAGTGCTCCGCCCTGAGGCTCAGAGAAGCTTCCGGTCATGAAGAGCAGGTCCTCCTTCTCCCCAGCCCTCCCCCAAACCCACCCTGAAAAGCTGCTCTCCCTGTCCTGACCACTCTGGGGTGTTGATGGGGGTCTTGCCAACGGGAGGCGGGGGCAGGAGGCAGCCCCCTTCTACAGGACCCCCTCCCCTGCCTCCTTGGCCTCCGCACCCCTTAGGGTCAGGCCCTGTAAGTCGGCATTCAGACCAAGGCTCTTAAACTCTGCTCGATGCCGAGACCAGAGGAAATACACTCTTACACACGTTCACACATGCACACAGGGGCACAGATACACACGCACACACACATTCAAGTACATTCACTCTTGCACACAAATGCCTGTCCACAAACACTGATACATGCACACAAATCACAAAACATACACATATATGCACATATATTTGCACAACTGAACACATCTAGACACACAAGTGCATATTCACACACAAATGTATGTGTATTCACAAATGTGTGTGCATTCGACACACAAACATGCACGCTCATCACATAAAACAGTCAACTGTGCACATAAACATGTGCTTAAAATGCATATACACGTGCATACATGCATGCAGCTCATAAATACACATGTGCATAGAAGCACACAGGCAAAGAAAGTGCACACATGAACACACAAACGCAGTGCACACGAGGCCAAACACCCAGACACACTTGCACACAAATTTTGGTACACAATCACATAATCACATGTGTACACTCTCGTGCAACAACACAAATATGAGTGTAGATGCACAAAAAGCCTACACATTCACACAGAAAACAGAAACGCACAGGCATGAACACAGACATGCTCAAATATTCACACTTATGCACATGTGCACACAGCTGCACACCCATGCATAAGAAGCACACGTTTGCTTACACATTTCCTCACAAGCATACACACAGCTTTTAATTAATTTGTGCAGAGCTTGAGTGCAGGCGTTCTCTCCAGACCTGGTGGGGGCACAGGGCCCTCCTCAGGTGGGAGGGGAAACACCCACTGTGGGGAAAAGCTGCTGTCAAGCAACCCTGGGTTGGGGGTGGCGGAGGATGGGCCCAGAGGTGGCCCCCCCCAGGAAATCTGCAGCCCCGAGCTGATTGTTGGGCTTGGCGCAGTAGCCAGGATACTGCCTCGTAAACTTAATAATAGCTATCCCCCCCTTTTAATTTGTTTGACCTTGACGACAGTAATTTATGATACCCATTAGAGCTCTGTCGTCTTTTTTCTCCTAATTCATAAACAAAGCACTTGGCCTGGCTTCCTTCTCTGCTTCCGAGCACAGGGCCTGCTCCAGCCCACGGTGGCCTCCTGAGACATGGGGAGGGGCCCAGTGTTTCTCATGATGCAGACACACGGTCCCTGTGGTCTCCAGGTCCCCAGGGCAGCCACTTCTCGGTCCAGGATGAGGGCAGGAAGGAAGCAAGGGCCGGAACAGCCTGCACGGGAGGCAGGCCCCACGGGCTCCCTGTGCCCCTTGGGCCTCGCTGGCTGGCCGGCCCACCTCCTGCCTCTCTCTCTTGCAGAGGAGCCCACGTTCCGCTGTGATGTGTGTGACGAGCTCTTCCAGTCCAAGCTGGACCTACGACGCCACAAGAAGTACACGTGCAGCTCGGTGGGGGCCGTGCTCTATGAAGGCCTGGGTGCAGAGCTCAAGGCAGAGGGCCTGGGCCGCGGGAGCAGTGACGGGCAGGCTCATGAGTGCAAGGACTGCGAGCGGATGTTCCCCAACAAGTACAGGTGCGTCCCACCCCAGTGGGTGCTCCGCACCAGTACAGGTGCCCCCCAGCAGATGCCTCCCAGCAGTACGGGTGTGCCCCCCCCCCACAGATGCTCCCCAACAGTACAGGTGCCACCCCGCCCCCCAGTGGATGCTCCCCAACACCCCCACAGCCAGTCAGGGACAGCAGGGTCATTTGGCCCTGGGAGCACAGAAGGAGCCCTGAGAAGGGCAGAGGTCAGCCCTTGTCCCTCAGCCTTGTCCACAATGAGACAAGGGTTCCCTCCAGTGTGGCACATCTTGGGGGTAGATACCCCACCTGCTCATCCAGCACTGGGGACAGAGCAGGCCATGAGCTGGTGGCTGGAGGCCACAGGTGCTCCCAGCTCTGACCGTGCCGGCTGGACCCTGGTCAAGCCCCCAGCCCTGGAAGATCCCTAACTTGCCCAGCTAAGGCACCACTGGCCCTGCCACTCTGCACATTCAGGGCTGAATTGTGCAGAGAGTCCAGCAGGAAGTCATGAAGCACAGGCCAGACCCCAAGGCATGCAGGGGCCAAGCCACAGGGCTGCTTTGGTAGGAAGGTCCAAGCCCAGGACGGGGGCATGGCTGCACCCCACTGCCCAGGGAGCCATAGCACAGCCTGCCCCTCTTGACATGTGCACGGGTCTCTCTCAGAAGAGGACAGGGATGGGACGGAGCTTCCCGGGGGTCCCCTTACCCCCACAGCCCAGGCTCCAACCTCTGCTCCTCTTGGGCAGCGCCTCCTGTCCCGGGAGACTTCACAGACGTGGGCACAGAGCACCAGGCTGAGGTCTCCCTCCCCTGCCCCAAGGCAGGCGGGAGTCAGGACCTAGGTGCTGCAGGCCCCTGGGAACCCCTCAGCTGTGGAGGGAGAGCCAGGACATGCAGTCCCGGTGCTCAGGAAGCCAGGAAGACTTGTCCAACGTGGGCCCCGTCTCCTGCCTTCAGGAATTTCCCCCGGTACAGCCTTGCAAAGGAGTACGGCCCCATCGGGCCCCTAACTGGCTGTGGGATGGCAGGGAATTGAACACTGACCCCACTGTGGCCTCCCGGAGATGGGAAACCCTCCACCCTGAACAGATGACGGAGAAAACAAGCCACTGGGCGAATCCCAACTGAGGCCCTTGGTGCTAAGCGCTGCTCAAGAGGGTCTGTGTTTTCTTTACATAAACACATAAATCACAATTAAAAACAGGGAAAAAGATACAATCTGCTGGTGCTCAAGAACCAAGCGTTTCTGATCTAAATGGACGGCTGGGCCCCGTAATTAACGGGCCGTGATATATTGCTGCTTTGCTCATGAAGATTAACGGTATACCTGGGACAGGAGGCACAGGATGTCCCCTGAGAGCAGGGGATCAGGAGCTGCCACAGCCGCCCCTGCCCAGCAGCTGGGCTTCCTCCACCTTCCGCAGCTCATGTGAGACCCACTTGCTCAGCCCCAGCCTACCTATCGGCGTGGGTGTGACAGGCAGGCTGCAGCCTGACTTGGCCAGTGAGCACTTCTGAGACCACTCAGGGTGCTTGTGCGCCTCACTGCCGCTCTGGGGTTTGTGGTAATGTTGCAAGCTTCTGGACCCCTTTTTCCTTGGTCCTAAAGTTAGCTTCCTGGTTAGCACTGCCTTCAAGGGCAGCCAAGAAGTGTGAGTGGGGGTCCCACCCTGCCCCTGGATGCCTGGGGATGGTCCTGGATGAGGGCCATCTGATGGGGCAGCAGTCTCCACCCTTCCATGCCATTGCCCTGTGCGGAGAGGAGGGGGCGGACACGCTGCCTGGACACGCTCTGCTCTGTGCACGGTGTGGGGGCGCCACGGGGCTGCTGCGTGAGGGCTCTCCAGTCTGGGCAGAGCTGGGGCCCCCACGGTGACCCCTGTCCGCTGTACGCAGCCTGGAGCAGCACATGGTCGTCCACACAGAGGAGCGGGAGTACAAGTGCGACCAGTGTCCCAAAGCCTTCAACTGGAAGTCCAACCTCATCCGCCACCAGATGTCCCACGACAGTGGCAAGCGCTTCGAATGTGAAAACTGCGTGAAGGTAAAGTGCGTGCCGGCCACACCCCACCTCCCCACCCCTCCCATGCACATGCAGGGGCCTGCGTGGAGTGGGTGGGCAACCCCAAGTTGCCCAGGACCCTGTCCTGGGGAAACGCACACTGGGATGTGGCCCCGCACCCCCAGGGACTGGGGCTGAGTGACAGCATCTGCCCCCAGGTGTTCACGGACCCCAGCAACCTGCAAAGGCACATCCGCTCCCAGCACGTGGGTGCCCGGGCGCACGCCTGTCCCGACTGCGGGAAGACCTTCGCCACCTCCTCGGGGCTGAAACAGCACAAGCACATTCACAGCACCGTCAAGCCCTTCATATGTGAGTCCCCGCCCCCTGGGAGGGACCCACCGGGAGGGACCCACCCCCTCAGCAGTGACCCTGCCCCCTGGAAATTAGCCCACTTCCCATAGGCGCCCCTACCCAGAGTGACTCCAACCCCAACGGCAGTGACCCTGCCCCCCCAGGAGTGACCCACCCAGCCCCAACCTTCCTCCCCCACAGCCTCCCAATGGGAGTCACCCAGCCCAGCCCCAAACCTTTCATATGTGAGTGACCTGCCCCAAGCTCCCTCCCAGTGATCCCAACCTCCCATGAGAGCCACCCAACCCCTGACCCCCCACGGGAGTCGCCCCAGCCCAGCCTCGCTGCTCACCAGCCCCGTGGGTTCTCTGGGAGATCAGCTGAGGCATGGAATCCCCAGGCCCCCATTCCAGGACTGTTTGTCCCAAATGCACCATGGCAGCTACTAGTGCCATGCTGATCCCAGGCTCCAGTGTCGTCCCGATGCCGCCCCTCCATCGCTGTGCCCTGCTGCCCCTCTAGTTCTGTGACTTCCCTGTCACTTTGGCCTCACCCCTCCGTGGCCAGAGGTCAGCAGTGGGTGGCGGGGAAAGACTGGTTCAACAATCCCAGGTCCTGCAGAAGGAGCCGGCAGCCTGCTGGCTCCACTCCCCTGCTGTCCCCAGCAGTCACACCCATGCCCCCTAAGCTCCTGGAGGCCTGATAATCCCAGCTATGCTCAGCGAGGCCCCCTGTTTATTCCTGCAGCAACCTGTGCAGAGCCCTGGCTGTTTGTCTAGCCATAAGTAACCAGGCGCCTGTCCTATGGAGCTTACTGGGCAGTGGAGGCTAAGCCAGATAAGCAATAGCAGCTCAAGTAGCAGGCATACCAGCCTGGGGGTGGTAGTGCAGGGTTAGGAGGCCCTCCAAGTACCAGTGAGTGGCCCAGATGGGCACTTTTTCTGCAAAGGCAATGGGGGGCCCGGATAGCCCACCAGGCAGGGGGTGCCCTGGCGCAGACCTGGAGGAAGTGTGGAGTGAGCCAAGGGGCACCGGCACAGGAGGCTCGGGAAGGGGTTGCAAGCACAGAGGCCTTGAGGCCACCATGTGTCTGGGGAGTAAGTAAAAGGGAGCAGTAGGAGAGGGGCCAGAGGGTCAGGTCGTGGGGACCTCACAGGCCACTACAGGAGTGTGACCCTGATTCTCAGTGAGTTTGGAAGCCACAGAAGATCCCCCTCTGCCTAGCAGTGTGCTGAATCATCATCACGCAAGACTGCTAAGTCATCATACCAGCAGCAAGATGAATGAGCGTCACCCAAGGTTATGCTGAGTCATCACATCAGCAGGGAGCTAAGTCCTCGTGCCAACATTGTACTGAGTCATTGTTCACACAAGATTGTGCTCAGTCATCATTCACACACAAGATTGTGCTGTTGGCACACCAGGAGTATGGTGAATCCGCATCACGCAAGGTTACGCTGAGTCATCATTACAGAAGCACTGCTGAGTCATCACCACACAAGATTGTGCTGAATCATCATCGCCCAAGGTTGTGCTGAGTCATCCTCACTGGTTAGCTCATGGCATCTTTACAAAGACCTACGGAGCAGGAGCTGCACTATCTTCAGCTGACAGCGGAGGGAATGGAGGCTTTGCAATGTTAGGTGACCCGAGCTTGGAGCCTGATTCCAGCTCACTGGGGGAGCCTCTCAGGCACCACCCCATCAGTGTGAGGAGAAACTCTGGGAGGTGGGGTCCCTGGGGTCAGGGTGTTCTCACCCTGAGCGGTTTGTTCCCAGTCCTGCCCGCTGCCCCCAGCCAAGCTTGCAGTTGCCCTGCAGAGGAGTCTCACCCCAGCCTGTCCGGGCAACTCGCTCCCCCAGCCGGACAAAGGGACAGAGCTCACCCTGGAGGCACCCTGCCAGCGTCCTCTTTCTACTTACCCACCGCCTCCTTCACTGGGTGGGAGTGCGGGCAGGCAGTGAATGAGAGAGCATCAGACATACTTGGAGTCTTTAAGCAACCTTAGAAGTAGGAAAATGGCAAATAGGTTTAAAAGTCACTGCTTCTCTGGACACAAGCATCCGGACGCCTAGCTGGAGCGCACTAGTAACATCAGTTGGAGGAATGGTAGTGCTCTGGAAGGGTCCGAGCCCCCAGTTTGCACTGCCTGCACGGACACCCTGGCTGGGTATCGGCAGCTCACCTGCCTGTGCCAAGCTCACTTTGGTCCCTGAGCTTTTGAGCTAAACAGAAAATCCCCAGACTTGGCCAGGTTACATGCATGAACACAGTGTCCATAGAGGGGGACACAGATTTTAGAAACTAGATCAGACATGTGAAATGCAGCCCTATACATCCTCCAGCCACGGCCGAGCATCCTTGGGCCGTGGTCGGGCTTGGGAAGGACACAATGCAAGCAAATGCGGAGGGTGCAGACGGTGTGGTGCTTCTGAGGAAGACCAGGTGCGTGGAAAAGCTTGGGCTCATGGCAGCGTGGTCCAGCGTGCAGACTATCTCCACCCAGGTGCACACCCACATCCCATTGGGATCAGCCCCAAACCTGCCAGGAAGCCCCCAGGTCCCATCCTCACTGACCACACAGAAAAGGCAGCATTGCCTCCCCATGATGTCTCTCGCACCAGGGAGCTCAAGCGTGTGCTGGGGTGTGTGCACAAGAGAGGGGACTGGTATCTGGGCACACAGGCAGACAGTTCCTTATGGCACTTTTCAGAAAAGGACCTTCTCTAGAGGGGGTGTGTCAGTGTGTGGGGGTGTGCATGGGTTTGTGTACAGACCTTACAAGGAAAAGATGAGAACTGGTCAGGGCCCCTCCGCATCCTGGCGGGCCCTGGGGCACACCCTCCACTGGGCGCCAGCCCCATGACCTGTCCGATCCTGTGGGCTTCCCAGGCCTTTCTCGGCCTCTGCAGGCAGCCACCTCCCTTTGCCAGCTCTGAGTCAGCTGTTGACCATTCCAGGTCCAGGACCTGCCTCTCCGGGGACCTCGGTCTCCCAGAGGCCTCTCTGTAGCCCCAGCATTTCTGCAGGACTCCTCCATCCTGCACGCAGGTGCATGGGAGCTGAGAGTCCCAGGCTCCCCGTGCCCAGGCCCAGCTGCAGACCAGCCTGGATGGCAGTGACGATTAATGAGGCACTGAGAGAGCCCCTTCAAGGATCAGGGGTGCAGCGAGGTGTCGCTCTTTAGCAGCAAGGCCTGAGCTGAGAAACGGCCTCGCCCCCCACCCCCACACGCACACCCTAGGCCGGGCAGGAGGCCTGTGGTATTTATAGATGTGTCCAGGCCAGTGGAGCAGCGTGTCTGCATTGGCTGCCCAGAAAGGACAGATTTGATTAAATTAGGCAATGCTCTGCCCTGCTCGGCCTTGGAAACGTCCCGCCATGCCAGATGACCAGGAAGGCAGAACCATTAATATAAATAGATATTGTGATTAAAGAACACGATAATCTCGGGCCCAGAGCTCCAGCTAGAATAGCATGACATCAGGTAGTCGCCGATTTGTGGCGAACAAGAAACACACTGAAATCATTGTTTCCACTGGGCTGCATTTAGGAAGCAAATTGTCCTGCAGAGAGGGACACACGCAGGGGGTGTGTGCTCCTCCCTTTCTGGTTAGAAAAACAAGAGGAGAAGGAAATGCTGGCAGTTCACTGACTCTCAGCTCACAGGCCACTGGGAAAATGGCCGAGACCCGGGCCACGGGCCGCAGGTCCTGGTTCTCAGCTCCGGCCGGCACTGCCCTCTCCTGTCAAGACAGGCTGGTGTCCTGTGCTTCTCTACCTCCCAATCTGGGGGGTCTTTTCTTAAATGTGGAACCAGTCCCTCTCTGCACAGCCCTGCCTGCAGCTTCCCTCCCATCCGCATCTTCAGGCCACCCCCTAACGGTGACCATACACTGCCAGGTCTCAAACTTCCCAACTAAGAAGCCCCCAAGTGGGCTGGTTCCCCCTCAGGCCTCCCTCTCCTCAGTGCAGGTCACAGGGCCTGGACAGAAAGGGGGAGCAGCTGGGAACCTTTTGGACTTTGGAAAGCAGGAGATCTAATCTGGGTGACTAGCATTCCCCTCTCCTTCCTTCCTAGGGGGGCTTCACCGCGGTGGTAGGAGTTCTGAACATGCTTATGTAGCTGCGACGTGGCTTCACGCTGCGACTGCCCATCCCTGGGGGTGATTTTGGAAGACTTTGCTCTTTGCTCCCTACATTACCAAAGCTCATGGGGGAGGAGGGTGCAAACAACAGCACCCTGTTTTCTAATGGAGGAGAAAGGGACACCATGAGATGTAAGCCAGCTTGGGGGCCTGGGCAAGGCACCCGTGGTCCTTGCCAATCCATGCTGGTCACCAGAGGCCAGCCATAGGGTATGGTACACACACGTGTACATGTAAGTACGCATGTGAGCACTGTACACACATGCACACATGATCACATGTACCCAGACCCACGTACATGCAAGCTCACATACACCAGCACAGACCGCCCCCGTCCCCCACCCCTCCGCCGCTGGGTCTCCGGTAATTTCACACGGTATTTGTCTGCTCTCTGCTGACGTTGCAGGTGAGGTCTGCCACAAGTCCTACACGCAGTTCTCCAACCTGTGCCGGCACAAGCGCATGCACGCCGACTGCCGCACGCAGATCAAGTGCAAGGACTGCGGGCAGATGTTCAGTACTACCTCCTCCCTTAACAAGCACCGGCGTTTCTGCGAGGGCAAGAACCATTACACGCCGGGTGGCATCTTCGCCCCGGGCCTGCCCCTGACCCCCGGCACCCTGATGGACAAGGCGAAGCCCCCCACCAGCCTCAACCACAGCCTGGGCTTCAATGAGTACTTCCCCTCCAGGCCTCACCCCGGGAGCCTGCCCTTCTCCACGGCGCCCCCCACATTCCCCACGCTCACCCCGGGCTTCCCGGGCATCTTCCCCCCATCCCTGTACCCCCGACCACCTTTGCTACCTCCCACGCCGCTGCTCAAGAGCCCCCTGAACCACACCCAGGACGCCAAGCTCCCCAGCCCCCTGGGGAACCCGGCCCTGCCCCTCGTCTCCGCCGTCAGCAACAGCGGCCAGGGCACCTCAGTGGCCTCGGGGCCCGAGGAGAAGTTCGAGAGCCCCCTGGAGGCCTCATACACCGGGAAGCTCAAGACCCGGAGCAGCGATGTGTCGGACGTCAGCGACTTCGAGGACATCAACACCACGACGGGAACGGATCTGGACACCACCACGGGGACAGGCTCGGACCTGGACAGTGAAGCGGACAGCGATCGCGAGAGGGCCAAGGACAAGAGCGGAGCAGCCGAGGGCAAGCCCGCGTTCGGGGGTGGCGTGGCACCCCCAGGGACCCTGCACGGCGCCGGCGAGGTGCCCTTCTTATACCCCCAGCACTTCTTCCCGCCGCCCGATGAGCAGCTGCTGACAGCATCGGGCGCCGCGGGCGACTCCATCAAGGCCATCGCCTCCATCGCGGAGAAGTACTTCGGCCCCGGCTTCATGGGCATGCAGGAGAAGAAGCTGGGCTCCCTGCCCTACCACTCCGTGCTCCCCTTCCAGCTCCTGCCCAACTTCCCCCACTCCCTGTACCCCTTCGCGGACCGCACCCTCGCCCACAGCTTGCTGGTCAAGGCCGAGCCAAAGTCGCCCAGGGACGCCCTCAAGGTGGGCGGCCCCAGTGCCGAGTCCCCTTTCGACCTCACCACCAAACCCAAAGAGGCCAAGCCCGTCCCGCCTAAGGTCCCCCTGGCCCCAGTGCCCGGCGAGGAGCAGCCACTGGACCTGAGCATTGGCAGCCGTGCCCGAGCCAGCCAGAATGGAGGGGGCCGGGAGCCCCGCAGAAACCACGTTTACGGGGAGCGCAAGCTGGTGGCCGGCGAGGGGCTGCCAAAGGCATGTCCCGCACAGCTGCCGCCGCAGCCTGCCCTGCACTACGCCAAGCCGTCGCCCTTTTTCATGGACCCCATCTACAGGTATTAACATGCCCCACCCTCACCTGCTCTCCCAGGGGTGGCAGCCAGGTGGCTGGGGGTTGGGAGCCAACGCTCTCCAAGGTCTGCCTCATGCCTCTGCAGGCTTCGGGGAGACCCCGAGCTCAGGGGTCTGGCTACTTGGGGACGTACACCTGGTGCTTGTTCCTAGGTGGGCACCTGGTGGGACCATGTTTGGGAGCCCGGGCGGGCCCTCTGGGCACTGTGGTTCCCTTGGCTGGCAGCCCTGGGGTGCCCACCAGAGGCCCTTCCGCCATCCCTAGCTGCCTTCTCTGGCCTGTTCTGCCTGCAACCAAATCAGACCCTTGTTCTCTCCTCTTCCCCATGGCTGCTCCTGTGGCCACCACCCCCATGGGGAACCCAGCTGGGGGCTGCTGGGGGCCCAGGGGAAATCGAGAAGGAGCCACTGGTGCCCAGGGGGGAGGAGGAGGAAACATTGGAGGGTCTGCAAAACTTAGTGTCCCACCCTCCGACAGCCCACCGGTAAGGGCCAACTTAGTCCCCCCCCGATTCCTGGGCAGGCTTGCATCAGGTGGGTCTGCTAGGTGGCAGGGGTCTGACCCCCAGCACAAGTGTCCCTGGGATGAGGAGAGGGCTGTGCACATGGGCAGGCTTGGTGGGGGAGGCCTGGAGGTGCAGCCAGCAGGTGTGGGGCATAGTCTCATGGGTGGCAGGGAAACAGGAGCCGGTAGGGGCCCATGCCTCTGTTCCCTGAGGAACCTGCTGCGGCCTGGGGTGAGCGTGCAGGGAGGATGCCACACCTGCTGAAGGTGCAGTGGGAGAAAACAACTTCAGAGGGAAGATGGGCCAGCCTTCCACACTGCCTGCCAGACTGCCCACTGGGTACCCGCCCTCCATAGGGCAAGGCCGGGAGACATCTGGGAGTGGGTGAGGGGCCCCCATGGGTGTGGGCCCTTGAGCAGAGGTCAGGAGGGTCGTCTGGGGAAGAACAGAACCTCTGGTCAGGCCCCAGAGCTGGAACCAGGGCCGGGCGAGAGGCTCCGGCTAACCTCCACTGTACCCTGGCCTCCTCCAGCCCCCTCCACCCTACCTGGTTTAGGGCCTCAGGCCTTTTCCCGGAGGCTGGGGGAGCAGAAGGTCCTGGCCAGGAGGTGGGAACCACAGCCCCTCCTGTCGGGACTCCTATGAGACCCGTGTGTCCCGGGTTCTTGCCCCTGGGATTTAGGGTCCAGCAGCTGATGAAGTTGCTGCCTGGGCCCCAGTTTGCCCAGAGACACCTGCAGAATGCCTGCCCGAGGGTGGGTGAACTCCGAATCACCTCCCTGCGGCCCTCAAGCCCCATCAAGATAGACACTCTCACTGCCAGGAAACCTCCTCTCCAAGTGAAGGCATGGGCACCGTGCTGTCTGTGAGCAGCTGATCCCTAGGGGTGACCCTGAGTGTGGAGACCACAGTCCTCCATCTCCCGGCTTCAAGGAACCCTAATGCTCCAGCTGGCCACCCCGACCCCCAGCCCTTCTCACCTCCCAGGACCACGGACCTTCAGGAAGGGCTGGGTCTCCTGCTGTGACCACAGCCTCGCAACTTAGCCGAGCATGTGTCCACCAGGGTCAGCCGGTGTAAGCCGGCATGGTCACTTGGGAGTCAGCCTGGTGGGGCTGCCATGCAACCCAGACACCAGAAAAAGGTGGGGGAGTTAGAGACAAGCCTCAGCTCCTCCTCCCACTGGGGTCCCCTTCCTCTCAGCCCGCGTCACCACCCCTCCAGCACCCTGCTCGAAGGCCGAACCTGGAACACGGCTGCTCGCACGGGCCTCAGTTAGCCTGCAGTGAGATGTTCTACAAGCCAGCTGCCCACCCATCCAGGGCCACCTTCCCAGGGCCTTAGTTTTTACTCCTCTGGGGGCTGGGGGGCTCTCCCCAGGGCAGGTCACACAACCTCCTGCACCCACTCCCTGCAGGGTTAGGCCAGGGAGCTCCCCGGGTCACCTGCAGCCTCGGGGCTCCTGGGGTGGCTGCGCTGTCCCCCTGCAGCTTGTCAACCTCTGTTGTGGCCACCCTCTGCCTCATCCTGCTCTGGTCAGAGCGCAGCCCCTCCACGGAGGGCAGACTTGTGTGTGAGAGTGACGTGAGCAGGTTGCCCGATGAGGTCCTCACGGGAATGAGGCAGGATCTGTTCAGAGGCTCTGTCTGCACGGGGAGAGGGGGGCAGGATCCCCAAATCGCGCTTCGTGACCTCCACCCCAAGGCAGACTGAGGCAGGCCCCTCTGGGAGAGGGGAGGGAGGGACCAGTGGATGCGGCCCCAGCCACCCCCGCACTTACCGCTGTTAGCAGGGCATCACCAGCACCTGGGCAATGTTGTAGGCCTGTCACCTCCAGCAACCATCTCAAGCTTTTAGGCAGACCCTACCTGGCTGCCAGGGGAGGCCCTGGTGACTGAAAATCTGATCCTTCACATTCTTCAGCCCTGGCAGGCAGAGCACCCCACGCCAGGGGCCGGAGGGACAGGGAAGGTGGGGTGCGCGCGGCGCCTCCCATGGGCTCCGTGTTCCGCTGCAAGGGGCCCAGGACCCCATGGGCCGGCTGACAGAGGCTGGTGGGTGGCCCTCAGAGAAGCTTCCGAGCTCCCATATTAAGCACTTGTCACATGCAGGGGCACCAGGAGCTGGGCATGCTGGGGGACACCAGGGGTTTACAGGGGTCCAGGACTAGGCATGGTGATGGGCACCTGAGGGAGGCAGGGCAAGCCAAGCAGGCAGCAGGATAGAAGGCTGTGTAGACCAGCAGGTGCACCCATGTGTGAACATGCCCACGGCTGTCAGGTGAGTCGTGGCGATGGGCCCACGGAGCCGCTGGGCCACTGTGAGAGGCCCCCACCTCATGGGGCACAGGGGGCACCCTGCAGGGAGGGGTTGGCAACTCGGGGGTACGTAACCCTCTGTGTTGCTGTCCAGCAGGGTGGAGAAGCAGAAGGTGACGGACCCTGTGGGCGTCCTGAAGGACAAGTACCTGCGGCCATCCCCACTGCTCTTCCACCCCCAGGTGAGCCCCATAGCCGGCCGGGCCGGGGGCGCGCCTCACGACCGCACCCCAGGGCCCCCTGCCCAGGCTGCCCAGGCAAGGGCTGCGCTCTGCCAGAGCTGGAGTCCCAAGAATCTAACTCTGCCTCCCCACCTGCCAGATGCCCAGGAGAACCCCCTCCCTGCAGACCCCATGCGCCACTGTGAGGCTGGAGGTCAGGGCAGGTGAGGAAGAGGCTGTCCTTGGCGGGGCTGCCCGCTGCAGCAGCTCAGGACCCAGGCCCCCGGGGGTGCCCACAGCTGTGGCTGGGCTCTGGGAGAGGGTCCCAGGAGGTGGCAGACAGGAGGAGCAATCTCCCCTGGGGCCACAAAGGGTAGCCAGGCCATCTCAAAACCAGAGTCAGGGGTCTGGGGAGCCCTAGGACTGGGTGGCCGCTGCCTACCCACTAAGCCTGCAGGCACTTGTGTCTGCCCCTCTGGCTGCGTCCCCCTAGGGGATGGCCACAGAGAGGCAGCAGACACGAGAGGCGAGCAGCAGGGCCGGGCACCGTCCCCCCAGCTCCCTGCCCACCTGTCCTCACTGCTGGGGGCCCGGCCCCCTGCCCAGAGCCACAGCCTCTGCCACCCCACCCAAGAGTCCTGGGGCCAGCCTGGGGGGTGGGCTGTACCCAGACTCCAGACAGGGCTTTGTTCTCCCTCCCTGCCTCTCCCACCTTGGACAAAACCCCCCATTTGTGAAACCTGCGCTGTGCCTGGGCTCACAGCTAAACTTAGCACCTCCCATTGTTTCACGAGGCTGAGGAGTTTGGTTAACAACTTCCCCTGATTTTCCTCGGGGTAGGCTGGCAAAAGCTGACAAGCCAGCCAGGCGCATCCTGTGTTTGTGCTTGTGTGGGAGCCCAGCCGGGAATATCTGATCGGGCAGAGCAGGCCAGGCAGGCCGGACCTGCGGGCGGCGTCAGGGAGACCCACCCCGGCCTGAGGAAGAGAGACCCGGTGGGGGGGCTGGCCACCCATTGTCCCTCCTGCCCACTGCCCCAAGCCCTGCCAGCCCCACTGCCTGCCTTGTGGGCCCAGAGCCAGAGGAGGTAGTGAGTCACCTGGTGAAGTGCCTGAGGCCAGGCCATCACCCAGGCACGAGGGCCTCCACAGAGTACAGGGTCGCCTGTGTACGAAGACACCAGTCTGTGCTGGTGAAGCGCAGGCAGGACGTTGGCAGGGCCTCCCATTTCCAAGGCCCCGGGCGTACAGGGCAAGGCAGTCATTCTAGGCCTGTGGGTGCCTGGGGAGTCAGGGTGGAGGGGAGTTCTAGAGTCTTCCAAGCCTGCAGCTAAAACTGAGACTCTCCGGCAGGTGGGCAGTGGGTTGTGTGCCCAGGGTCCCATTGTCCAGGCCAGAGGGGCCAGCGAGAGGCTGGACAGCAGATGAGGGGCCAAGGCAGACACCACATGTCCGTCAGTGGGGACGGAGAGGGCAGCCCGCGGCTGGAAGCACTGTGCCTCCGGCAGGGAAAGGGGTGCTCCCAGGGAAGCCCACCCCCCTGGTGGGAGGAGGGGCCTGTGTGGCTCCCTCAGCACCTCCTCTCTCCTGTCCTCAGGCGCCAGGGTCTTGGGGGCAGAGGGCACACTCCCTTTGCCTCCCCGGCAAGCTCTCGGCAGCCCCAAGGAGCAGAGAGAGGCAAAGCCTTCTGTCCGTACCAGCGTGTCCGTGCCCAGGCACGACGGCATCAGCCTCTTACTCGGTGGGCTCTAGTTTAGGCTGCTGTTTTGACCTGAGACTCGGGTAGCTAATTTTTCGAGACTCAAAAATAACATTTGGATATAATGCTGTCTTTACCCCAAACTAGCCATCTAGACTCAGGGGTGCTGGCCAGTCAAGCCCGTGGGGCCTGGCTGGTTTGTCTCAAAATAAGGGGGGGAGGTGTCCAAGTGTGGTCAGCTTGCATCATGCCTCTCCCAGCAAACCAGAGGCTGGCTGGTGAAGGTGGGTCCCAGCTCCCCCAGCCAGGCCCTGGGCTGAAACAGGGGGTCCAGAGAAGGACAAGCGTAGGGCCAGCCACACAAAGGGGGAGAAGCAGCCCAGGGGTTAACAGAACGCCCGAAGACCGCTGGTTGCGGCGACGACCTGAGGGCCCGCGTGCCCTCGTCCTGGCCCAGCCCGCTGATGCGCTCTGTCACCAAGGACCCCCAGACACCCTTGGGGGTGGGGCCATGCTCTTCAGGAGAAGGGGGAGCTCAGGGGCATCCCACAGCCTCCCCCACTCTGCCCACAGATGTCAGCCATCGAGACGATGACGGAGAAGCTGGAGAGCTTTGCAGCCATGAAGGCAGACCCGGGCGGCTCCCTGCAGCCCCTCCCCCACCACCCCTTCAGCTTCCGGTCTCCGCCGCCGACGCTGTCCGACCCCATCCTCAGGAAGGGCAAGGAGCGGTACACATGCAGGTGAGCCGCCTGCCCGTGAGGTGGCCCTCGCGAGGTGGCCTCAGGTGCCCTGCGGCCATGCACCTGCCCTCCCAGGAGGAAAACTCTCAGCCCAAGCACAGTGGGGTGGCAGCAAATGGTCCCTTGTCTGCTCGAGCCATTCCCCCAGATCTGTAGGGGCGAGTGGCCCCCTTGTCCCCCACCATTACTGCCCCCCATCCGGCCATGATCCTGAGCCCAAGAGAATGCCACCTTGGCCTAGCCAGTTGGAATCCAGAGGCCCGATGTTGAGGCGTGCTGGTCAGTGTTTAACTGAAGCTCTCAGAGGTGGCGGAAAGCCCGGTTTGGGGAAGGGACTGGCCATGTCGCTGTCCAGCCACTTAGGCCTGTCCAGAGAAGTCCAAGCTGGCTCTGGGGCTGAGATGCTATTTGGGGAGGGGGCATGGTCCCAAGCGGGCTGCAGTAGGCCCGTCCTGTCCGTTTCTCTGTGAAGCTTACCTGGGCTCTGGGACCGAATGAGAGATTTAAATGCAGGATTCCCGGGCACCTCCTGCCCCCAGGTGGGGGACCTCTGGCCTTAGACGCCCACCTGGAGGAACAGGAGACATGCGGGCACGCAGGTCTGTGATCCAGCCTCTGTCTGATGGTATATTCCCCGTCCCTCCCAGGTACTGTGGCAAGATCTTCCCCCGATCGGCAAATCTCACAAGACACCTGAGGACGCACACTGGGGAGCAGCCCTACAGGTAGGAGCCCGCCGGTCTGGGTGGGGGGTAGGCTCCTGGCAGGACCGTCCCCCTCCCTACGCACACAAAGGGCAGGTGGGACCTGCTTGTGCAAGTCCCTCCTGGGTGCCCCCTCCGGGGCCCTACAGCCGTCCTGTGCCTTGAGATGTCGTAAAGGTCAGGCAGGGGATGCCCAGCAGGCTCCTAGAAGGCTCTGGCTGGCTCACAGGGGAGGCGGCCCAGAAGCAGCTCTCCCACCTGCTGCTGGGATGTGGCCAGGGCTGGGGGTTCAGAGCGGGATCAGCCAGGAGCCAGAGCCCGGCTTCACCCCACCCCCCAGCCCCACTCCGTTCATCTCACCGTAGCCACAGCTGTCCTAAGCCCTGGAGGTGGGCTAGGGCTGTGCCTCAGGCAGGTGAGCAGGCGGAAAGGAGCACCATTCAAATGCAGGTCCCAGCCCAGACTTGGGGCACCCTGAAGGGTTTGCTCGGGTCCCTCGGCTCCCCATCTTTCTCCTCAGTGTGTGGGCTTCTGCCTGCAAAGATGTGGCCACACAGCTTGTCTGGGTGTAAAAGCTCTTGCGTTTCGTGTTCCCAGGGGGAGGTCGTCCCTATTTGAAGGATGAGGACCCCAAGGCTCATAGACGCGCTTGTCTTGGCCAGGGTCCGAGCCCACAGCCGCTTCAGCGGACCGTTCTGGCCCCGAGAGAAGGTGGTCCTGTTCCCCTGGGCCCCGAGGCCTTTGTTGGTCAAGAAAAGAGCTGAGCGTGACATGCTGGCTCTCAGGGACCTGCCCAGGGAGGGACCTGGGACTCCGCATTCTAAATGAGAGACCCAGGTGGTTGGTCACCGTGAGGCCGTTGTGGGAAGTGCTGGCTTTGATGCCAGGATGACACTCCGGGGTGTCTGCTTGGGCACAGCCCTTGGGAATATGGACTGTGGCATGGTTTGAAGTCGGCAGCATGAGATTCCTATCCTCTGGCCCCACCTAGCATGGAGTCACTATTGGTCCTGGGGACTCGGTGTGTCCCCATCCCTGGGGAGGGCAGCCACATGGTTCCCCAGCAGGTGTCCTGGCCCCCGTGCCCCACCCCAAGACATAATGAGCCATGGCCTGTCCTGGCCGGACAGATGACAGCTCACATTACTTACAGTTGTGTGTTCAGTGACCCCTCCTATCCCCACACACAGCCCGCGCCCCACCCAAAAAGGCTGGCAACAGGAAGACTGATTGGGTCTGGCCCCCACCCCAAAAACGTATCTTTACAGTAACGAAAGCCAACTTCTGGGCTGCATTGCATGTTCGCACCCTCGGAGGGTCAGGCTGTGTTTATAGGAGAATTTAGTTTTCGGTGATTTCTGTTGCTCCCTCCAATCTGTGAGTTTCGACTTGCATAACAGTAATTACTTTGAGCGTTGCAAATGCTGACTTTCCCTGGCTCGAGGCGGCCCTGTGATGGGAGTTTGGGGTGGTGGCTTTGTTCTTGGCACACGGGGTGGGGGGACTTCCGGGGTTCACTTTGATGATTGGAAGGATTTTGGTTGGAAGAGGAAAATGTGAGGGTCCCTTTGGAGAAGCCGTGTGCTGGGCTCAGTCCCCACCACAGGCTAAGGCCCCCCACCTCGCTGCCCACATGTGCCGCCGCCACCGCAGGCCCCCAGCAGGCAGGCAGCAGAGCTTTCCCGGGCCACCAAGAGTGACGGGCCACCGAAGCCGACCCTCCTCCTCTGAGTGCTCGTCTAAGGTTGTCTAAAACCACTCAGAACGTGTGTCAGAACCCTGACGCAGGGAAGGAAAGGCCCTTTAGTGGCTGATGCCCTTCCTGAGGTGGTCAGCCCTCCTGCCCAGCCGGGGTCCTCCACTGGGGACTTGGAGGTCTGTGTGCAGAGCCTGAAGATGAGGTGCGGCTCACAACACCCCCACTTCTCACAGCTCTAGCACACAGGGCTCCTTGGGATTTGGGTTGTAGGGAAAGGGGGCACCACCCTCACACCATGCTTGGGGCCCCTCAGAACACTGCCTGGGGGGCCTTGGTGGATGGCCTGGGAGACCCACTTTAGGGTTGCACGCCCCGCGGTCTACAGTCCATCTCCCCCAGTGAGCAGGGCCCAGGGACCATTCCCCACAGGGCTGTGGTGGCCCACACGTGGCCCCTGGCCTTTTTAGGGTTCATTTGGGGCTAGGTTTCAATATCTCTTCTTCTTTCCCCTCCCCGACTTCCACAGTTACCAAAAGGATTGCTCCTTGTGTTGGTTGACATGCCCTGCTGGGACTGGGGAGGACACTGCCACCCTCCTGAGGCCACGTCACCCTCCCCTGCCCTGGCTGTGTGTCCACTGAGGCCACAGCAAGGTCCCCTGAAGGCCCTGGGCTGCGTGTGCTGTGGCCGCAGCAGCACGCCCCCTCCTGCTGCGGTGGTCTGCAGTTTTATACTACGCAGCTGTAAATTTCACTAGCCACTTTTCAGCTTATTTACAACGCAAATCCCAGCTGCTCAGAGGGCTCAGCTGCCTCGCAGCTCTGGGCTTAGCTTACTGCTCCCCTAGATTTCAAACTGACTTCTCTGTCAGACTATTTATTTAGATTAGGGCCAAGAGAGGGCCACATTCAGGACTCACTGCAACCCAACTGAGTGCATGGCTCCCCTCCCGGACCCTCGCCCAGCCCCAAGGAGGTTGGGGAGAGAACTCTGTTCCTGTTAACTCCCTATCCAATCCCATTTCTCACTCAGAGTTTAAGCAACAGCCATTAGGTGGAACGCGTCAGAGGGTCCCTGCGTGTCCAGAGAAATGAGGAGTGGGGCGCTGCGTGAGCAGGTGTGTGCAGGAGTACCTGCTCACATGTAGACCAAGGGTGGGCACACAGCTCGGCTGGGTGGGAAGCCTGTTGGCTGGGCTGGGGGCGAGTGCCCAGACCTGGGCTGGGGGCCAGCTGGCCTCACATTCAGGCTTTCCTGAGCAGTCGCCCTGAAGAGCAGGGTGGCAGCCTGGGAGCCTGGCACCACCAGGGGACAGGGGTTCTGCAAGTTTAGAGCTGTGTCTGCATGTAGTGAGATGGTCATTCTGGGATGTGGAAATCCTCCTTTCTGGATGCTGGGCAGCGGGACCCCCAGGTCACAGGGCACCAAGCATCTCTGCTCCAGCTGCAGGGAGGGCCCAAGCCTGGCCCCAGTCCTCCATCACTGTGCAGGCCAGCAGAGCAGCCACCACCCCGAGGAGGCTTCCAGGATGGGCCAGTCGGGGCTGGTGAACGTCATAGGTGCCAGAGGAGAGGAGGTGGCCAAAGTCAGGTGCTCCCAGGGTCTAGAGGCAGCAGGGGCCCTTGGAGAGGCTGCCAGGCAAGGTGGGTCAGGGAACAGAGAGAGCTGAAGGTCATGCCAGGAGCTCAGGAATGTGCCCCAAGGAGTTTGTGCACAGACCAGGTGGCTCCCATACCGTTAGCCTGGCCTCAGGCACCATGGAAGCTTCAGGAACTGAATGGATGAAGCCCCAGAATCTCACCCTGGGAGACACGGGGCCCCTCCAGCAGGGCTCTCCCTGCTCCCTGGGGAACCCCAGCAAACTGCCCAGGTATTAGCCGGCAGGTGTGGGGCAGGTGGCTTGGAGGTTCTGAGCTTCTCAGGACAAGGTCAGCAAAGCTGCCACCCCTTGGTGCCAGGAAAGCTCAGCTCTTGGGCCCAGTGCTAACACCCGGAAGGCTCAGCATGAGGCCCTGGCAGCCCGTGGGGGCCTAAAGCTTCCTGCCTCGGGGAGGCCCAGGGTGCCTATGGTTTGTCAGACTCCCTGGCAGGGCCAGGCCTCCAAATGCCCAGTGTCGAGGCAGGACACCAAGAAGCCCACTCTTATGGAGCGCCTGCTGGCCAGGGCTCCCAAAGTGTCCTCAGGCAGGTCTCTGTGCATATGACCAGTATGCTGCTGGAGCATGGCCGCTGGCCCCGGTCCAACCGTGGGCCGGGCTGTCCCGTGTAGGACAGGGCCCCTCCAGGTGACATACATCTCCACGTGTGGTCCCTGCTGGGACTCGCTGCATGGACTCTGTCTCCTGAAAGACTGCCAGCCAGGATACTGCTGCCCTTGTCTCTCTGCTTCTTGTACTGTGGAAGCTTGTTTTATTTCCAAAATAGGAAAATACATGAGCATGTAGCTGAATGCAAGCGCTCATGTGCTCTGAGACTCACATAGCGTCCCTGGAGTTCTGCACACCAGGTGCACTCGAGTGCATATGCTACACATGTGCATGCACCCACATGTGCTCACACCTGCGGGCATGCACACACATCCACATGTGTGGATGCATGAGCACATGTGTGTGCTTACACGTGTGCATGCACCCCTGCACATGTGCATGCACACACACAAGTACGCTAGTGAAAACCACAGAGTCAGGACCCGCTTGCTGCCGTCCAGCTGGGCACCTTTCAGCAAGCCCACACTGGCCTTTGCCTGGACTTCTGCCACCAGGAGGAGGGGTGCCCACGAGGCAGCACGTGTGTCTGCAGAACCTGAGGTTGGAGGCTTCCTCTGAGGCCACCCGCTCGGCTCCTGGCTCTGTCTCTGACTCGACTGCCTTTCCGTGCATGAATCACCCAGGCCTCGCTCTTGGGCTCCCTGTATGCAGGGGGCAGGACAGCCCTCCCTCTCCCTGCCCTTGGCCTCTGAGCCCCGGGAGGGCCCCAGGGCTCCTGTCCCCTCAGACATGTTAGATTGCTCATCACGGCAGTTTCCTGGCAGTAAAGTGCTCTGTTCTGATAAACTTGGGATGTCACAATGATATCTAAACAAGCGCCGTGAGGAGTCGGAGGAGGGAGCATCTTTTCCCAGCTTCCCCAGGAGTGCAGTGCAGGCTGGCAGCGGGCCCTCCGCAGAGGGGCGGTGATAACCTGGGCGTGTGGGGCTGAGACCACAAGCGGACGGTGTTGTCATCTGCCATCCATGGTGCATCTGGAGGAGGTGCCCTGTGAGGGCAAGGCCGAGGAGCCCCACCTCACCTTCAGGGTCGTTAGGGACCCTAAAGAGCCTCTGGCAGCCCCCATGTCTCCAGTGAACGGATGGGCAAGTTGAGGCCGCACGCGAGATGGAGCCTGCCCAAGGTCCCACCAAAAGAGGCCAGGGGCAGGCCCGCTCTCCGGGTGCCAGGCTCTGGGTCTGCGGGGAAGGAAAGTTGCGGGAGCCCGTCTGGGCTTCTTCCCGGGAAAAAACCGGCCAGAGCCTCTTTCCACGGTGCTAGGCTGCCCCCTTGAGGCTGCCGGGGGCACGCCACCCTCCGGCCGCGGACGCTCGGGCCCGGACACCGCCTGGGGGGGGACCCAGACAGCAGAGAGGGCGGCGGCCACTGGAGGGGGCCGGGTGCCGCTCACCCAGGGGCACCGGCGCCGCGGGGTCCTCTCCACCAGCGCGGGGACGCTTTCCAGCGCCATCCGTCGCCCACAAGTCAATAGGGGAGGCTCCGCGGCTCTCAATGGTGGCTGCTTCCAGGCGCGCCTGTACCGTGAACCCCGGGCTGGGAGGCCCAGCGGCTCCAGGGGAGCCGGGAGGGGACGGGTGGGGCGGAGGCGGGCGCCCGGGCCCCGGCCAGCTCCCGCGGGCCCGCGAGCCTCCGGGTCTGGGGGCCCCTCTGAGGCCGTGTGTCTTCCAGGTGTAAGTACTGCGACCGCTCCTTCAGCATCTCCTCCAACCTCCAGCGGCACGTCCGGAACATTCATAATAAAGAGAAGCCCTTCAAGTGCCACCTGTGCAACCGGTGCTTCGGGCAGCAGACCAACCTCGACAGGCACCTGAAGAAGCACGAGCACGAGCACGTACCAGGTGGGGCTGGCGGGGCTCCTGCGGCCGCGCCTCGCTGAGGGGGCGGAGTCGGGAGGGCGAGGGGCGGGGCCGGAGGGCGGGCGGGGCGGGGCGCTGCTGCGGGACGCCCCTCTGATGTTCCCTTGCCTGCAGTGAGCCAGCACTCCGGGGTCCTCACGAACCACATGGGGACCAGCGCCTCCTCCCCAACCTCCGAGTCAGACAACCACGCACTTTTAGACGAGAAGGAAGACTCCTACTTTTCGGAAATCAGAAATTTTATTGCCAACAGTGAGATGAGCCAAGCTTCAGTGCGAACAGAAAAACGGTAAGAAACCCACGCAACCCCAGGAGAGTCTGAATTCTGCAGCCCACCTGTGTGCCTCACCCAGTGCAGGTACAACCGCCCCGAGGCACACCTGAGCAGTAAGTACCCCCACACCCCAGTGCCCCAGGTGCACCTCGATGGGGACAAGGGCCACTGCAGAGGGTGAGGCCACTGGGCTCACAGCTGGTGCCCACTCCAGCCCCAGCTATGCCACCTGGAAGCTGGGGAAACTTCAGCAAGGGGGTCCCCTTGCTCTCGAGAGGGTGATGGGGTAAGCTGTATGCTCAATGCAGTGCCCAGCATGAAGGCCTAGATGTCTACTAGCACGGTTTAATGCTAACAGACGTATGACAATCCGCAGGCCAGGTGAGGGCCCCGTTCACAAGCTCTGCCTGCATCCAAGCTGGAAAAAATCTGTGTTTAATCCAAGGCACCCAAACAAGAATGCTGTCCCTTTCAACACACACACACATGCACACGCATATACACATGCTCACACACACGTATTCATATTCATGCACACATGTACAGAGATCTATTTGTGCACACACACACACATACACATCTCATACACAAATACATGTTCCATATGCACACATATGCAAACATGCATTTATACACCCATGCCCAAACACACAACAGCAGGGAAATGGCCAGATTTGAATCGGAAAATGCAGATGTGTTGAGCTCAGATCCTTGGATCTCAGCTTCAGCCTGGGGTGTTTAATCGGTACCCTCTTCTGGAAGGACACTGCAAATCCCAAGGGGGAGGCCCTCCTTGGGGAAAAGCTGGTGACATCAGAGAACCAGAGATGCTCCAAACTCCCAGAGGCCTTCTGGGTCTGACCCCTAATTCTGCATGGGGGGACCTGATGCCCAGAGAAGTGGGGTTCTTGCTCCAACCACAAAGCTGGGCCCCAAACCCAGAGGCAGAGCCCCAGCCCTCCTGCTGGCCCCAGGCAGGCCCAGCTCCTGTCCCCACCTCCCTTCAGCAAGTGAGGAGGGCCCAAGGAGACCCAGGTGCCTCCAGGGGAGTCTGCATGTAGTCAGTGGTGCCCCTACAGAACAGGGTGGGACCCCAGGCTGCCTGTCACATTGGTAAATGGCAGAGGCTCTTGGACATCTCTGGCGCCTGCCACATCCTAAATTGTTCCCCTAGGAAGGTGATCTCACCTGCCCTCCAGGCAAGGCCAGGTGGCTCAGCTGGGTACCAGGGGGCAAGGGGCAGGGGCCAAGCCTACTTGATAGGGATTCTTGACACACCCACTTTGGTGGGCAAAGTCCCCATCCGTCCTTGTCTCTGGCTCGTGCATGGCGGTCTCACGGGAACCCAGCCCCTGCCAAGCAGTGTGATCCACACCTTCACGAAAGTCACAGACGTGAGCATGCAGGTGCCAGCCCTGCCAAAGCCCCCACAGCTGGGCCAGGAGGCACCCTGGCTGTTAAAGATAATCCCTCTGCATCCAGGGCAAAGCAAGGACAGCCAGCAAGGGTTTGTCGGTGGGATCCTGGTACCCAGGAATGTTGGGGAGGCTCCCACTCCCCGGGCCCGTCTGGCAGACCCTGCTCTTAGCCATAAGGAGGGGTGGACTCTCCATGACCCTCACCAAGACAGAGGAGCTGTCCCAGATAGTGACAGCTGAACCCCTCGCCTCGGCCACACAGCATTCCCACCAGGCTTCCCCCACAGCCCTAAGGAGGCACAGAGTAAGAAAGGCTCCAACAGTGGAGGCTGGCCCACACTGCTAGGCAAGCCCAGGCAGAGCCAGCCACAAACCCAGGCCCTTGGGTGGCCTGTCCCAATGATACCAAGTCCGAGGAGCCAGGGAACCTCCCAGGAGGTGCCCCCCATCGTGGTCACAAGTGGGAACCATGGTCACAGTTGACCTAACCACTCTGTAAGATGGTGGGACATTGGTGTTCTGCTTGGGGCCACTATTAACATTGTCTGGTTCTTATCCAGGAATTTCCTTCTCTTGACTGTCAGTGAGAACTTAGGGACTGCCAGGTATCCTGCTCCCTAACCCCTTAAACTCAGGAGCTGAATCATATCCCCCCAAATTCTTAACCTCTAGGCCCCCAGAATGTGACCTCATTCGGAAAGAGGCTCATTGCAAATGATCAAGTGAAAATGAGGACACTGGGGTGGGCCCTAATCCTGTGGGACTGGTGACCCTATACAAGAGGCGATGAGGACACAGGCCGGCACATGAGTCAGGGATGGCGCTATGCATCTGCCAGCCAAGGACCGCAGGCAAGCCCCCCAGGGCAGGGGGGAGGCCTGGGGCAGATGTTCCCTCAGTCTCTGGAGCCAGAGCCAGCCCTGCCGACACCTGGACCTCGGACCCTGGCCTCCAGAACTGGAGAGAACGGATCCCTGTGGTTTAAGCCTGGATAAGGTGTGGGGTGTCGGGGTCCCAGGACATCCACATACCCCAGGCAGCTGTTTGGAGGCCTGGATGCCACGCTAGTGTCCTCTCTGTAGGAAGCCAACGCTGCCTGCCAGACCCCATCCTCTGTCCCTGGGCCCCCCACACGAAGTGCTCATGCTTGATGCAGGCCTCCTGCCAACAAGCAGACACACCATGCCAGGCAGGCAGGCACATAGAGTGCATGGTCCCTGCTCCCAAACAGAGGGGCTTATGCATGAAATGGCATAGTGCGCTCAGGTTTGATTAAACACACAGGGCAGTCAGTGAGAACTTAGGGACTGCCAGGTATCCTGCTCCCTAACCCCTTAAACTCAGGAGCTGAATCATATCCCCCCAAATTCTTAACCTCTAGGCCCCCAGAATGTGACCTCATTCGGAAAGAGGCTCATTGCAAATGATCAAGTGAAAATGAGGACACTGGGGTGGGCCCTAATCCTGTGGGACTGGTGACCCTATACAAGAGGCGATGAGGACACAGGCCGGCACATGAGTCAGGGATGGCGCTATGCATCTGCCAGCCAAGGACCGCAGGCAAGCCCCCCAGGGCAGGGGGGAGGCCTGGGGCAGATGTTCCCTCAGTCTCTGGAGCCAGAGCCAGCCCTGCCGACACCTGGACCTCGGACCCTGGCCTCCAGAACTGGAGAGAACGGATCCCTGTGGTTTAAGCCTGGATAAGGTGTGGGGTGTCGGGGTCCCAGGACATCCACATACCCCAGGCAGCTGTTTGGAGGCCTGGATGCCACGCTAGTGTCCTCTCTGTAGGAAGCCAACGCTGCCTGCCAGACCCCATCCTCTGTCCCTGGGCCCCCCACACGAAGTGCTCATGCTTGATGCAGGCCTCCTGCCAACAAGCAGACACACCATGCCAGGCAGGCAGGCACATAGAGTGCATGGTCCCTGCTCCCAAACAGAGGGGCTTATGCATGAAATGGCATAGTGCGCTCAGGTTTGATTAAACACACAGGGCTGCTTGCTGAATGCAATCTGAGGCCTGCGCCCAGGACACCCACCTGGGCTGTTTATCCAGGCCTCAGCATGGGGGTATTCTCACACCGCCAAGATGGCACAGGCTCTGAGGTAGCAATCCCCAGGCCAAGGTCACCCCACCGAGAGCCAGCAAGGGAGGCACACCGGAGTTCTGCCCATCCTGGAAGGTAGAATGGCTATCAGCTTCTGTATACTTTCCCACGGAAAGACAGGAAATGAAGTCGGGGATGGCCAAGAGCCTGGTGATCGGGGGTCTCTGCAGCCCAGTCCCTCTGCACAAGGCTCTGTGCTCGGAGGTCAGGGGTCCATCAGAGGGGAGGCCTCCTCCTGCCCAGATGCTGAGAGCAGGACCCTGGGTCTGCCCTGACGGGGCAGGGGAGGTCCTGTGCCAGGTCCAGGAGTGGGGCCTGGGGTCTCAGGGAACATCGGCCTTGCCCCCTGACACCCCTCTGCCTGATGCCTAGACCCCTGCTCCGGGGCCCTTGGGCCAGTGGGGCTTTCCCAAGGAAATCAAGGCTCAGCCTTGCCCAGCATGTGTTTTTTCTTTTTAATAACAAGGACCCAGAGTGTAAGTCTTACCAGCTGGAGTGGCCCGAGGGTCTGGGCTGCAAGGGAGAATCCACCAGTCTCATCCTGCTGATAGCAGCCCAGCCCACCCTCTGCAGAGGGGCCCCTCGCCCATGATGGCCCGGCGTCCTTGCATCCTCAAGGGCAGCAGGGTGGAGCAAGCTCTATCGGCTGACCTCCTCCACACCCAGTCTTCAGGATGCCGCCCCCCATGCAGTGCCCGGCCCCAGCTCCAGCCTGGCCAGGACCCCCTTGCCTGCCTGGCTGGCCATGGCTTCCCTCTCTGACAAGCGCACTTGCCCTGAACCCCTGAGTGGCTGGTATCCACTCTGGCGTAACAGGAGCCCCGCCACAGAGTAGTCCTGCCTGCCCCCTGCCATGCCCTCAGCAGGCATCCTCGGCGCTGGAGTCACCCACTCCACAGGGCACGGCCACTCAGGACCACAGCTCTGAGGACGCTCGTGCCCTGAGCACGGGTGTCCGTCGGGAGGGGGTGGAGGCGGCAGGGGAGGAGGCGGCCAAGCCAAGTCGCCCACCTTTCGGAGTCCTCAGCCAACTCCCTCCTGTGTCGTTCCAGGCCGGAAGTCCAGGACCTGGACAGCCACTCACAGTGTCCAGGCCTCCCCAGCAGGAAGCCGGAGGACGCGGAGGAGGACGAGGAGGACGAGCTGGACGAGGAGGAGGACAGCCTGGCCGGGAAGTCCCCGGACGGCGCTGTGTCCCCTGCGCCCGAGCCTCAGGGCACGTACGAGGACGAGGACGAGGAGCCACCTGCCGCCCTGGCCCTGGGCTTCGACCGCACCCGGAGGTGGGACCCGCCAGGCCCCAGCATCATGAGGGTGCCTTCCTCTCAGACCACCTGCCGCCCTCCCGGCTGGGGTCCCCCTGCTCCCCAGCAGGCAGTCTCACCCCGAGTGCAGCTTGGGAGAGGCCCCCCCTGAGGAGAGGGGTCGGGGCCTGCGCACCCCCACTTCCCCATGCCTGGAAGCAGCACGGGGGAGGGGAGGCATTTCCCCACCCGGAGAGGGAGTTGGGTCTGCTGTGGCCTCTGGCCCTGCAGCAGAGCCACGGCCCCCATAGGCCCGGGCAGAGATGGCCGGCCTCTGGGGGGGCTGTGCGGCTCAGAGGCTGAGCGCCACAAGCTTGGAAGGCACGTGGGCCAGAGCCACTTGCCCATCCTGACTGCTTGCCACCTACTCTCAGCCCTGGTGGTGCTGCTGGCATTCCAAGACCCTTCATGGAGGGGGCCGTAGATCCAGGAGGCCCTGCCTGGGCAGCCCATTGCCCCCCACCTCCGGGCCCTGGGAGTGGGAGCCTACAGCCCCTCCAGAGCTGCCTTGATTCTTGGGAACCAAGGCCTCTCAGTCTGTCCCCTGACCCCAGAGATCTGGGCGCCCCGCCTGCTGCTTGCCATGTGTGTGCACGTACTCACCCCTCTGTGGCCCTGCGTCCGTCATTCTCCTGCCAGCTGTCCATGTGTCCATGTGTGTCTCCTTGTGCATGTGGCTCGTGGAGATGCTGTAGCGTGCATGCAGGCACAGAGCTGGCCGTGGGGCATCAGAGAAAGGTGGCCAGAGGCCTGGCCAGCTGACGCCAGTCCCTCTCCTGGTCATTGGTGCAGGTGTGTTGAGGAGCAGCCAGGCGGTCTGGTGGCTTTGGAGCCGATGCCGACTTTTGGGAAGGGGCTGGATCTCCGCAGAGCAGCTGAGGAAGCATTTGAAGTTAAAGATGTCCTTAATTCCACCTTAGATTCTGAGACTTTAAAACAGACACTGTACAGGCAGGCTAAGAACCAGGTAGGTACCCAGCAGAGCCACCCCACCCCCACCGCCTTCCCCAGGTCGGACTCTGGGCAGCAGCTTCCTTGGCCAGGGACAGCCTCACCTCTCCACTCCGGCCACCCCATGCCTGCCTGGGGGACCCCCAGGGCTCAGTGGCCACCCCCCCATGCCCACTGCATCAGCTAGAGAGGTGAGGGAATGAGCACCACCCCTGCAAACAGGTGGGCAGGGAGAAGTCGAGAGCCAGTGAGTGTGAGGAGCGGCCGTGCTCACGGACACAGTGGTCGCTGTTCCATCCTCGCAAGGTGTCCACGGGCAGGCCTCCAGGCTGCAGGCACTTTGGCCTCGCTCCCTCTCTGGTGGGAGCAAGAGGGACTGGTATCCCAGGCTTTCTCGGGGGGAGCCGCCCCACTGTGCAGTAACCGAGGCATCTTAGTGGAGCTGTGACAGGTGACCAGGGGCACCAGGCTTGGCCCCAGGTGCCTCTCATCCCTGGCCTCTAGGGTAAGTGGCCACAGGAGCCTGCCCCCTGCTTCTCTCCAGTCTGGAGGGGCAGAGGGTCTCAGTCAGCAATCTGCAGCCCACCTGAGTCTCACTAAAAGCTGTCTGCGTGTCTGTCTGTGTCTCTTTACTAATCCTGTCAGAGTGTCAACTCCAGTGGGACAAGGGTTGGGCTCCCCCACCATTCCCGCCCTTCTCCCAGTGGCCCCGGTCCAGTTACTGTGCCCTGTGGTGATGACAGAAGAAATCCTGTGGCCTCTCTGAGCCGTGCTTCAGGCCGGGAAACAGGCCTGCGCTCAGCTTGGAGATTCTGCACGTCTGTTTCCCCAAGTAGCTCTGTGCAGCCACCACAGTCCAAACAGGTGTCCCCCAGGTGCACCAGGTCCACCAGCACCCAGTGGTGGCAGCAGTCGGCCCCCAGCCCCACCAGGCAGGGACTGGCCCTTGTCAATAGGGTCTTAACAGTGACTCCAGCAATTCCCAGGGCCCTCCCAAAAGTGGGGAGGGGCGTGGAGAGGGCACTGCAGGGGGCCGTGGGAGCCGCTGTGCATGGAGGCCCCTGGTTGCAGCCATGGTGTCCCGGCAGCCCTCTGCCCAGGAGCCCAGCAGACCCTGCCCTCCTGCTCACGTCGGCCTCTTCCAGGCCGAGAGGAGAGTCTGGTGTCTTTGGGCCCTTGGCCTCCCCTCTCCATCTGGATCTGGGCAAGGCTGAGCCGGTCAGCGATCTGCAGGCCCCCAGCCCACCTGCTCACCTGCCTGTCCTGTGTGTCCCATCCTGTCCCCCGCCAGGCATATGCAATGATGCTGTCCCTTTCCGAGGACACGCCCCTCCACACCTCCTCCCAGAGCCCTCTGGATGCCTGGTACATCACAGGAGCCACGCCGGAGTCCGGAGCCTTTAACCCAATCAGCCACCTCTGACTGGCCCAGGCGGGGCTGAGGTCAGAGTCCCATCTGGGCAACTGCAAGCTGCCGATGTCCCAACAGATATCCCCGCCACGGAAGGTGGAGGCGAGGCCCTCGGGGGGCACGGCGTGGCCCGGAGCCACAGAGACCCTGTCCCCTGCTTTTGACCACTCCTCAGCTCCTGCCCCAGGCCATGGTTCAACTCTAACTCTTCCGGTGAAAACTGAGAACCCAGAGTCCCTAAAGCAGTTGAAGACGCTCAGATCGCTAAGAGTGGATCTTGAGAAGAGGGTTCAGGAGCGGTTCCGCTCCCGGCCATCAGGCACCACTCGTGGGAGCCGCCTCGGGAAATCGACCTGGCAGCAAAGGCACGAATCTATGCCAAACGGGAGCCAGCGGGCCACGCGTGGGCACCTGAGAGCGTGGTGTCTCGGGAAGGGAGCGGACAGACGGGTGTGCGCGGAGGAGGGAGATCGGCTAGGCAATTTTTATAATGAAAATTATAAGAATAACCCTTTTGGTAATCTTATTGACGACAGAGTCTATTTAAGCATGTGGTTTTAAAAATGGACAGTATTTTTTAAAAAATCAAAAAATGACTCACAAATTGTTTTTTAAAAGTAATTTTGCATTGCTTTGAAATCTCAGCTTATTCGCAAACCGGAGCCTGCCTGGCAACAGGCGCTGTGCTTGGGTGTGTTCTTTATACTGTAGATAATGGAGAAATTTTCTATTCCTGACCGTATTTGTAAAGCCAAGGTCACCCTGGGTGCCCCTGGGTCAGAACCAAGGGGCACGGGGCCCATACCTGTGGGCAGTTTCCAACGTGCCGAGGGATTGGAGGAATACTTAGATTCGGTGTCCTGGGCTGGCCTGAGGCTGGGACTGGGAGGTGTGCCTGTCATTGTGTGACGTGATTCATGCCCGTGGACCCCACCGAGACCCCCCAATTGTATGGGGCAGGTTGGAGCTGGGGAGGTGGGCAGCACCTGGTGCTCCTGCCCATGAGGTCTGCGTCTTGCCACCCCCACGCCAGCCAACTCCTCTGTTCAGAAGGAGGGCTTGCTGGCCACCTTGGGACCTCCAGACCCCACCCGCACCCACCCCCGACGGACAAGGGGAAGGAAGCGGGCATGCCCCGTGGCCACCGTGGAGTGCAGTCCGCCACCACCCGCTCCAGGCCGCGGAGCTCTGCACATGCCTAACACCCCCGATCCAGGACACAGATACCACTTCCACTCCTTGCTCCGGGATTTGGCGGGCGGGACCCGGCTCCCGGACGGAGGGCTTCCAGACGGGACCAGCTGCAAGGAGCAAGGACAGCCCAGCCCGTCGGGGACAGCGCCTCCCGGGGGACTTCACTCAGACGGACGGGCTTTAAATTATTCCCATAGGGGCCAATTTTAAATAATTTTTTTCCCTGATGGAATTTACCTTAATCTGTATATAACTTGTAATTTTTCTAATTCATTTCTTTTCTTATTTTATTTCTTCCCTAACAGTATTTTTGGCATTAGACTTTCTTATTATGAGGAAATAATGTTAATATAAGTATCTAGTGAAGGACCAAAACCGTGAGACAGGTTGTGTGTTGTGTGATTGATAACCAGGAAGTGGGGTGATTTTTAATGTGCCAAATACTCCTGCACCCCTCCAATCGTGCTGTCACTGCTGCCGTTTCCCAGACAATCATGTGTTTTTGTTAAATTTGAGTTTTCAGTTGCATTTGCATTTAAGTCAAGTGTTCTATTTATTCTTTTATTGTTTGGAAGAAAAAAGGAAAGTCGTGTCCCAGCGAGGAGGGGAAAACGTCACCCCAGTTGCCCTTAAAAAATAAAGTGCGACATGAGCAGCTCTGGTGTGGCCGCCCTGTGGCCCGAGTGTCCGGCGGCCGTGTCCTCTGAGGTCCCTGATGCCGCCGCAGCTCCACGGACCCCAGGGAGAGGGCTGTACTCCTGATGAAGCCCACCTGAGATGAGGCGGCGGGCACCCTGGGCGGGTGCAAGGGCCACTTACGCATGCATGCGGGGTGGCAGGGAGAAGCTGGGTGCCGCTGGCCATGGCCCTGTGGACGAGGATTTGCAAGCACAGCCCTCCCACCCCTTCTCGATCATCTGCCTCCCCTGGGCAACCGCTGTGTGTGCATGGATGCCCAATTTGCCCTTAATCTAGATGGGACCCTCTGAAAAGTCAACCTCACGTACAAACTCCCCATCTCTGTAAACCCAAATTATATGACTGTTCTGCTAAAGAATAAGGTGTGTGCTCTTTTTTGCGATTGACTCTCTGTCTAAAATAAGAAGTTGGGGCTGGCGCAAATGTAAGCGTCTGTCCTCAGTGGCCGCCCAGCCGGTGGGACTGCCCTCTGTCACCTCTGGACCCCTCTGCTGACTGCCGCGTCCTCCACCTGCGGCCTGTCCTCCCAAGACCATCTCTGCTCTTCTCTTTTTCCCCTTCCATTAAGAGTCGGGTTGCACATTTCAAGTCCTGTATTTTTGTCCCCCTGAAAATGATCAGAGCAAGCCCAACTTCTCCTGAATGTTCAGCACCTCAGGCCTGAGCTCCTGGCAGGCCTGGGGGTTTGTCCTGGGACCCCCTGACAAAGAGAGCACTTATTTCCTTTGCCCGATGTGTCCAAGAAGCATTGCCTCAAAACTTAGCCTTGCCTAGAATGCAGCCAGCTGCCCTCCGTTCCCCTCTGCCCTCTGGGCTCCAGCACCAGCCCAGCCCACTCTGGCCCAGTCTCATGCAGGACACCCCCCGGGACCAGGGAGCTTGGGCCCCATTAGAATTTCACATTCCCAGGTTTGGAGCTCAGATGCACAGAGCAACTGGCTGGCTGACCACACGTCTGTGGCAGGTGGCCAGGATCAGGACTGTAAACCCACTGGGCCAGGTCTGCCTGGGGCCAGGACCCCTTGCTTGGTCCGGCCTCGACTGCTTCCTGCTCTGGATCGCTGACATGCCACAAATGGAAATTCCGAAGGAGGCCTCCTTTCCTTCACTCTGTGCCGAGCCTCAGACCCCCAGTGGGCTGACACACTTGGAGCAGCTGCCCCCGTTCCCAGGACAATCCGGGGGGAGGGACCCAGGCTGCCAAACTTTCAGTCAGCCAGGCCCTTCATGAGTGGGCCCCCGATTTGTGCACCCAGAGGCAAACATTCCTGCAGCCTGCCTGTGACCCTGGGGTGTGAATGGGGTGAGCCTAGGAGACCACGCAGCCCACGTGGCCTTCCTGTACGAGGTCCAGCGTACTGGTCCATCCTGACCCTGATTGGCCCAGCATCTCTGTGGCCCCAGAGCCTGGCCTGGGGATGCCCTGGCCTCCTCCTAGCTAGCTGCTTTCTCAGTGAGCGCTCACAAAGCACTTGCTCAAATGCATATCACCCGTGTTATTCTTGAAGCCTCAAAGCACTGGATTGTAGTCCTGGTCCCCTGCCCCAGTGACTGAAATCTACTGAGCTGTATTCACCGCGCTGTCCCGGGGAGGGATGAGGGGACAGCGCCACCCGGGAAAGCACACCCCTGCACTGCTGCCTGGTGGGGGGCGGACGGGAGCCGGGCACCTCCCTTCCTGCCTGGCTGGGGACTCGAGGACACAGCTGCTCCTGGTCGGGAGGTCAGCCAGGTACCAAAAGCCATGAAACTGTGTCTGTAGCAAGGAGTGATGCTGTGACTTAGACATCCTCATGTGGTTCCAGCAGCATTCTTCTTCTCCCATTCCAGCTTTTTTGTTTTATTCATTTCCATCACTGATTCATATTATCACTTTTGGAAAAAAGAAAAGAAAATAAAGAAAAGGCAGCTTGAGTTTCCAAATGTGCAATGCATGTGCGTGTGGACAAAGCAACTCCTGAAGGCTCCTCAGTGTACCTTGCACCGTGATTGTTCTCCCCGGAAGAGGGAGGCTGAGCGCCGGTGCCAGGCTATGTTGTTTAGAGCATATATGTGCATATATGCCTCCAAGAATCCCAAGCCGGTGCAGCCATGTTGTCCTCTTGCCACTGTTATGTGACAGGTTTGGTTTAGTTTGGGTTTGTTTCTTTTTGGTTTGTTTTGTTTTAGAACTGTATAGTGTTGAAAAAGAAATCAAATGTAAATGTCTGGCTTTCGTATAATGTTTAAAAGAAAACATTGAGAAGGAGGCTGGTGTGTGTCCCATGTCCCCCGATTGTAAATTGCTTCTGTTATAAGTAAACTGTGCATGACTCGTGTTTAGCAGTCATTATTGTGTCTGTTCGTGAAATTTTTATGAAAAGGAAAATTCCGTAGATGCACTTATTGACTCTGTGATTAGGGTCTGCGTCCTCCCCGCCGGGAGTCCTGAACTGCCAGGGCAAACGAGATGCAGTTCTCGGTTCGCGTGGAACCGCAGCAGGGGAACTAGGAAGGGACGTGAGTGTAGGAGGCGTTGAGAGGGATTCAGCTCTCATTTGATGTTTGTGTTAAAGACAGATGGACCTGTGTAGAGAAATTTCTTTAAGATAAAGCATAGGAGAAGCTGATTTGGGGGTTAATGCTGTAGAATAGGACTGTATACCAAATGTAATCTTTCCAATGCTACAATGAATTTATACATGAGATCAATATGCAATAAATCTGTGTGCTTTTCTAAGCCTCGGTGCCCACGACTTCATTGAGGGGAATGGAGGCCTCGGAGATGGGAGGAAGAACTGTGAGGTCAGGGTGTAGCCAGAGTTGAGACTCACCAGCCTGGACTGGCAGTCCCGGGTGGCAGGCTCTGATGCACCCAAAGCCGTTCTCCCCACACCAAGGGCCAGGGCAGCTGCCCTTGCTATTCCCCTTTTCCAGAAAAGAACAAGCTTGGGGAGGGCCCCTGCTCTCCTGGGCAGCCTTGCAGTGGGAGTGACGTTCTCCAGGCATGCCCCACTCCACGTGTTTCCACCTCCAGGCATGGTGTGCCCTGGAAATGCCCCACACCTGAGCAGCTGGGGGACACAGCTCCAGAGGCCTGGGGTCTGAGAGCAGGAGGGGGGAAGGAGGAGCCAGGAGAGGACCAGGGACCACAGACCTTGGGGACATTGTAGTGACACTAGCTCACCTGTGCCAGCAGAAGAGTGGAGTGGAGACGGGGTGAGGGCTTCAAGGCCTCCAAGACGCAGCGTTCACCTGCTGAGGTTTAGCCACAAGACCTCTCAGCCAGCAGAGTTGGGTTGGGGGGCCAGGCCCTCTGCTCGAGGCAGATGGGCCTCAGGAAGGAATGCCGGGCACTCAGGAGAGGGGCCACTGGGGGAGGCTGGGTCTGCTGCCCTGACAGCCCTGGGCACTGCCAACCCTGTCCGTCTGGCCATCGCCTGGGAGCAGGAGAGGAGGGCAGGTACAGCGCTACGGGGGCTGGCTGGTTAGGAGGGCTGGCTACGGGGCCGCACACCCTCAGGAAGGGGCAGGTTTAGGACTGGCCGTAGAGGAGGCCCCAGGCAAGAGTTCATGGGGTGGGCTCTGGGGGGAGATACACCTGGGGGGGCACACCTGGGGGCTGCCATGCCTAGAACTGGCAGGCCTGGAGCCCTTTGGCTAGGGGTTTCAGGTGGTGGTGGGTCAGCCCACACCAACAGCTTCCCTGTAGAGGCCCTCTAGCATCTGTCGCCAAGAGGTGTCTGCCCTAGGACAGCCCCAGAGTTTCGGCGGCACTTACATTGCCTGACACCTGCTCATAACCACCATCGCTGGCGCACTTGGCCTCCCTGACAGGTACCTTCTTGCCTGCTCAGTGCCCTGGCCTCTCCCCCTCCAAGCTCCTGCCCTCCCCTTTGCATGCCACCCAGCCTCACCCATTCAGGTGCAGGACACTGCTCCCAAATTCCCAACTCTCTTACACCAGGATCCTCCCCATGGCAGCCACCCACCCACCAGGGCATAGAAGTGAACAGGATGGCACGCCTTGCACACCCACAGGGGCCGGGCAAGGTGGCTCTGACAGAGCACCCCCACGCAAGGTAGCGCTTGGCCAAGAGGAAGCAAGATCACAGGGTGAATGGAAGGTGGCCTGCAGCTCCCCTCCCCCGGGGGCTTTAAAGGCATCCGGGTCCAGAGTCCCCCCCACAGACCGACACCTCAGACTGACATCCCTTGAGCCTCTGCTCCCCGAGTCAGGAACTTCCACCACTGCCCTGGATTTGTGGCTGCGGAGATGGAGGGGCCCTGCTTCCTCTCTCCACCCCCAACGCCTGGCCTGGCACACACTCTCAGGGATGAATAATGAGTGGGCGGAGGGTTTGCCAGGGCAGCCCTCACTCAGCCTGCATTCTGGGCTGTCAGGGCCTCCGAATGGACCACATTCCAAAGGAAGCAATGGACGGGGAGTCTGGACCTCTAAGCAGCGGCCAGGGAGCTGCCAGAGGGAAGGAAAGGAAGCTGGTCTTGAAACAAAATCCCTGGCCCCAAATCTGGGGTGCTGAGGCTTTTTATATTCCTAACACCGTCCGGTGAAGTGTGCTTCCCCAGGGCAGCGTGTTGTGGGGAGCAGGTAAATGTTCCACAGTTGTTTCCGGGCTGATGTGACTGACGAAGTGTCAGTGAGATCTTAAGCCCCGCCACTCAGAAGTGGGGTCGGCCTGGGGCTCCGAGCACACAGACAGCTTGAAAGGCTCTCTGGGAAATACATTTCCGCTCTCGGAGGACAAATGATGTGAATCACAGCACCGATGAATGGCCGTGCTTCCAAAAGCCGTTCACAGTGGCCAGTGACGGTGCCCCGCACGCCCCCACAGCCGTTCCTGGAGCTCACACCACCCGGCCCTCCCCTGGCGGTCCAGCCCGGCGCCTCGCTCCTCATGGGCCGGAGGGAGGGGAAGGGGCTGGCTGGGAGCGCTGTCCGATAAGAGCCCCATTGTGGGGCAGACCCCGGAGCCAAGAGAACAAACAGAATATTGTGGACAGGCCGACTCTGTCTTTCTGCAGCCCCACTCCCTGCATAAAGGTCGGAGGAAAAAGGCTCCATTTTGGAAATGGGGGTAAAAATCAACAGGAGAAAAATGTGTCAATGAGGAATCTGTTTTCTGAGAAAAGAGATGCTTTTGAATCCCCTCTGATTCATTTTGGGCCAAGTGAGCCTGCCGGTTATTTGCAGAGAAGCTATTTTGAGAATCACTAACCTTATTTCTCGTGGCAGCAAAAGTCTTCCAACGACGGACATGTGTCCTAATTTGGGATAAACTGGCCAGACCCAGGGTGGCTCTCGCGGGCACAGAGGGTCCAGAGGGAAGCGCCCAGGGGAGTATGTTTGCTCAGGGA